CAATTTCAGATAATTTCCAGACAACAACAAAATTTAAGAAAAGGATCAAAGGTATAGATTACCATTACTCTTTGCAAAAAAAGAAAGATAATTAAAAAAGAAAGAAAATATTAAGTAAGTCATCAGATTTAGTTATTGTCCTGAATTTCATTCATTTTCTTTCTCTTCACATTCAATTGTAAAGAGTTTAAACAATCAAATAAGTAGATAAAGCATCAACGTAACATCTTTTTATTTTCAATACATAATATGATGTTAATGTACCCATGTTACCTTATCCAGTTTTTGTTTGCGACCATGTCTGTCAGGTGGAGAGAAGTTATTTGATAGCCCCTTATAAAAATGTAAGGTTAAATGCGTACACTACACATGCAAAATCGAAATAAGTAATATATAATACATATTTAAATTATACTTTGCACGTCTTTCCCGGGATAAGAAAATAATATTATTTGAATACGTAACCTCTCGCTAATTTATATAATCTCTTGGGATAAACCTCTCATGTATCTGTAATAGAACTTTTACATGGTAAGTTTGTTTAATCATCAACTTTTAAACACTTCTTGAAACATGGCAAAGAAGCTAGTATAGTAGCAGCTATTATTCATCTGCAAAACTGGCATCGAATCGATTAACGACACTTTATATCACAGAGACTATATTCATAATCATAATAAGAACATGTTTGAATTCAATGTTTATAGTATTTTTGTATATGTTTATAGTCAACAAAATGAACCTAACTTAACCAAACTTTACAAAAACTAACATCACAAGACTAAGGGCCGTATTACAGAATGACAACTAAGTGTTGATCTTTACTTGAGTACAGTTAGAAAGGAATGCCGCTATGTGCTATATATAGCGACATCCCGTTCTAACTATGCTCAAGACTTGATCAATCATTGAGAATCGATTCTTAATGAGATTGTTGTCCTTCAGCCATTTCGCCAGGTTTAATGAACGGCTTAGGCTTCCACTTGGCTGGCTAATTTAACAAAATCACTGCGAGGTGTTATACGTGTCGTTTCCGGTATATTAGGACTAACAAAATAGATTTTGGGCAGGTGAATAGATATAGTCTTCGAATAAAGAATATGTATCACTAAATTAAAAAAACTTCAATAAAGTTCTGATATTATAATAGATATCGCTTTCTGAACACACCCTTATGTACGGACCACAACATCTCTCTAAAAATAAAGTCTTCAATATCAAACGTATCGAAATGTGAGTGGTACGCGAGTTTTATAGACTGATCGTATATTTTATGTGCGTCACTACAAATTTGATTACAATATATTTTTCATTCCTCTCGTGTATTTTTAAATTTAGATACTATAGTAGTTACCTACTTGCTTCTTTACTTTGAAGACGATTTAAAGAATGATTGGTTTTACTATTTTCCAGATAAGATGAGTTTTAAAGAAATGCTTATTATTATATTCTTTTAAACTTACATGGTCTGTAACGATAAAGTATTTTTTGTTGTTAGCGGGATTACTACCATTTACCTACTTTGTTCCTCGTTTGTTCGGGGACTTGCAAAAAACAACAGGTATCTAGTAGCAATGCCGAAATAGAAATGTTTTTAACTTACTTACTTGTTCAACAGTTATTATAAATGCTTACCAATTAAACATTGGTATTTGGCCATCTGTTGTTTTCATCAATATCCCAGGTCTTATGATGAAACATCCCCAATAAGTTTTATGTTAGTAGCGTAGTGTGAGGCGTTCCGCTACTAGATGGAGTGACTACATCCGGAAAGCAGCGGGCAATGCCGGGATGAGGGAGTAGCGCTAAAGACCGAGCCGAAATGCGTGGCATGGGAGAGGCCTGTGCTGTGTCCTCTCCAACAATGGAGTGATGCGGGCTGATGATAATAATCTGTTTTTTTCCACTGAAAATTTCAATGAAAACAACAATAACACCGGCTCAAACTTACACAGTGTGATTTCATTTGGTAAAAAAAAACGTGTGGCACTCGGGGATTGCCGCGGTAAAGCTATTGCATAGCATTTTTTATCAACTTATGCAATTTTAATTATTTATTTATCTTATTTATGCAGTTTTATTTTCTTTGATATTAATAGATGGCGAGGCAGGCCTTATGATATATTATAGGGCAACCGCAGCAAACAACAGCATTGCCCGGCGCCAAAAAACTTCCACAAGCTCCACAGTTTACCATCTTTAGTCCAAAAATTTATTTATAATTATAAAGTCTAAATATAGGGAGACAAATAAAAATAAGAACAGGCGCTGGGGCCTAAAACAACTATATAAAAAAAAAGTAAAAAATAATAAAAAATACGAGTGCAAGATTTGAACCTACGACCGCGGTGATGCGTCGAACGTTGGTCCCGTGGCAATAATTTAATACACTGCGCCTTTTAGATCGATACTGAAATAGCAAAAATTGTGTTCTATTGGTATATGCACTCTCGTAAGGTTTTTTCGTTACGGAATTTCTTGATTCGGTCGCCGCGCTCAAAGCCCGCGATAAAAGCTATGCAATAGCTTAAAAATTGCTTAGATGCAAATGCCAATATATCATTAATTATAAAGTGCTACATCATTTTACACGGAATCCCATCGCAGTAAATATTATATTATATAATACACGGTAAAGGTCGCGGGAAACCGTTCGCTGGACGAGGATAGCATAGGAACTATCCATGCTGAGATCTTCAGGAGTTTCGCGTTTTATAGATGAGATCATAACATTATTTTCATCATTATGAAAAAATAGACCTATATATTGTAAAAAACACACTCTTTAAAACTATTAACTGTATATAGACGCCTATTGCCTGCCTCAACCATTACTGAGCCGCTGTCCCATACGCTGCAAAAGACGTCTCATGACTATCTACTATATACCTATGGATACATGGATAGTCGGACCTACAGCGGGGGTTTAGTTTTAGGGTTAACTCGTCACCCTTTAGATACGGAACCCCAAAAAAGACAATATTAACGCAATAAATCTTCCCAAGTCACAAGATATATTTCATATATAGAATGTAGGCAAATCATGACAAACAACAATTGACAATCGCTGCTGCCGCAGCGCAGGATCGATTAAAAATAGGCAAGAATTCAATCGACTGAAGTTTGCGACAGTCAATCGTGCATGAAATATTATGCTCTCGACTCGCAAACGACACTCTCCCAATCTGTAAATAGGCGTTGTGAGTCAGTAAACGTCAGCGCGGCGGTGTTATGAGGGCAAAGTGTCTGTGGAACTCGCTTATGGAAGAGGACGCGTTTCCACAATCCGGTTCCTGCAGCAGAATGATAAGAAAAATGTTATTAAAGAAGCAGCTTATTGGCTCTAAATAAACTGAACACAACTGCGCACTTATTAAATATGTAATGTTATTGGGTGACACAGTAGAAGTAGTAAATGGATGGAAGTAGAATTTTATGGAATGTGCTATCCCATTCTTTCACCACATATATTACCCCACTCCATCTGATGTTTTTTGTGTAGGTTTGAAGATATATATGATCATAAATATAGTGGCGGAAAAATGTTCCTCTCTAGCCATCCTCACTTAACCGGTCTAAGCCGTACTCACTAGGTACCCCATGGAACCCAACGTCCTTACCAACAGAAATATAACACTAACAAAAGTTTACTACTTTTATTATAATATGAAGTCTGATGCATCTTAATTCCCCATGCCTCTTTTAGAGAATAATTGAAAACCTAAATATTTTTTCTAGTTAAATTTTCTTTACATTTAAACATCTAGCAGTTAAATGCTTAAAAATAAAAATTTAATATCTATTTCTTCATTCAAATGTTTAATACTTGTAAAGATGCGAAGAGATGCTGCCTTGCAGCTTATGCAGTATTAGAGAAAATTCGACACGGCCGCGGTAGCATATTGCATAATGGTCAGTGCATTCGCCCGCATCAGTGTTTCCACTTTAATGATTTCCTTTCCCCACGCCTCAATTCAGATTTCCCCTTTTTAGGACATTTTTTCCCCTCAAAAATAATTCTACTGCAGTTTTTAGATTTGGCACTAGTGTAGTAACTAAAGAAAAAAAGGTCTTAATGTATCTTATTCTATAACAGATAAATAAAATATATAAAATCTGCACGTGTTGCCACAGTTTCTTTTATACGGCAAGACTCTAGTCCACGGTATATTCCATAAAAAATTTGTTCCGTGCCGCATTATTTTAGGCTAGGCTTTACCCATAATTTCCCACTATTATCCCTTTTCATGTCTTTCCCCTTTTTCTTCCCCTCTGGACCCTAATTTCCCCTTAAAAGGGGAAATTTCCCCTCATTGTGGAAACACTGGCCCGCATAGCGAAGTGAGTAAGTGAGTAAAGGTAATACATAACGTTGGTATAGATCCTGGGTTCCGAACCTAGGGGTAATTACCCCTCCGGGGGTAAATCAGCCATACTTCGGGGGTAACAAAGAACCTAATTATTTGGTCAAATATAAATAATAAGAAAATACTATATAATAATACTACTAAATAGAGCATGCGTTCCTTCTTGCTAGCGAACCCGTGGGGTGCTGAGTGTGGGAAGCGGGGCGAGATTTTCTCCTGATGATGACATTATTAGAGACGAAGATGTAGCGGCCAAATTGGAATTTCTTGGACTCATGATAAAACTTCAAAGTCGGGGTAAAATCCGGTTTCCTAATAGGTTACAGGGGTAGGAGTATTGGGAAGGTTAGGAAACACTGGTATAGATGACCGTCTATTTTTTGTGTTTCCGCGCCTGTGAGGAGTGGGTGTCAAATTCTCTTATCATACTAAAACACAGCCAATGGCCATAGGAGCTTCTGATGCGATCATCCCCTGAGAAGGGTATGATTCAGATGAACGTCTATTATTTAACCTCGTATAGATACGAAATCGTGGTGGAATGGGCACGTGGTAGAAGAGTAGGGCGGCGTTCGGTGCGCATGCGCGGCTCGGGCGGGCGGGCGCCGCCGTGACGTGCCGCTCAGCTGACGGCGGCCGTGTGACGCCGCTCGCCGCGTCGATACCGTCGCGTCCGCCCGCTCGCATGCCGGCACCACCTCGCACCAACATCACCAGTGACAGTGATGCGCCAACACTAAACAACCGAACCCCCTCGACGCAAACCTTCACGCTACCTATCCCCGATGATGGTACGACGCAGCGGACGTTACACCGTCAACTGGCGTGGATTTAAAGACATTCTGGGAAACAAACCGCCTGACGAAGGTGAGATCTTTTGACATAACCCCAAAATTAGATACCCAATTTTATAACTTTTAACAGATACTTTACATCTTACGAAAATAATGGAACAAAATAACAAACGACCTGTTTTGACCTGGAGACACTGCATAGTGAGAATATCCATATTATTATATCATCAATTTATTTTGTACTACGCAAAGTAATCCTCCAAAAATACGTAATCAGTTTGATTTTTGAATAAAATATCATTTATAATTAAACATATCCAATTTATTTTTTGCTGTTTTAATTTCAAGTTTTTGAAAAGACGTGAATCAACATGAATTTCGTAATTGACATTGTATCCGAATCTAGATTGTAGTTCTCTATCTTCAATAAAAGGTGATTAGCCTTTTTAAAATATACCGTACCATATCAAAGTATAGAAAGTGTTATTGCACCAATATTACGTCTAAGTTTTTACTGGGATATAATAAGAAGTACCTACATACAGGTACTTCTTATTATATCCCAGTAAAAACTTCAAAATAAATCATTTTCTTCTCTTCTTCTTACTTTAGATAGAAAAATGAATATCTATAAGTAAATGAAAAAACACTAGGGGCGATTGAATATTGTTTATGTATAAATTATATTACAATGCATGGTTCAAAGCTATTTCAATGCAATGTTTTCACTTTTCATTAATTCCATGCAATTTGGTTAAAGCAATTTATCTGTTTCGTTAATCTTTAAAATCCTACAAGAATGGTTCAATTTAATCCCGTGGATTTAAATATTGAAATACGACTGGGACTGGAGTGTCGGGACCTCGGGATCTCGGGATCTGAATAAATATACTCAATCATCAATTTCATTCGGTATTCATTGATTGCGTTGCGTTAATAGTTTCTGCAATGCTATTCAGTAAAATTTGACTGCCGGTGAGTCAGGACTTACCATCAGTGCTAAAGTCAGGACTTAACTATGAGTTTTGCTTTGACAATGTGCATTTTTGAATGATTTTGCATCAGATATTGTTTTTGTATTCAACATGGCACGATGGGGAGATGAGAGAACTATACATCTCATTCATTTGTACAGAGAATACGAATGTCTTTGGAAGCTCGCTTTACTTCCTCTCACGAACTGTCCTGTGTATACGCGATGGTAATACTGGCATGAAAGGCCACAAATTGCATGCCAGTTCTACTTCCGCAGTGTGCCAGTTACTCGTACATGCCAGCTACTTTCCCGATTTACTGGTATGTGTATCCCCAGCCTAATTTTATTTTGCTGCGTTGATATTAGTATCATTATATATTACGTATCAAATGTACCTTAGGGAACGTAGTTACAATACTTACGTGACCCCCTTTTAATATTTTTTTCATCCCACCACCTCGGAAAGTGTAATTTTGCGCTTCGAAATCTGGCTGGAAAATTCTATTTTATTCGCTTGAGCGGCAAAGTAGATTTGAATTTAGAACATCACATATAATGAGTACTCAATATAATTGTAAATTCAAAACGTCATTAAACCTATTTAATGTAACCTCTATGGTGCCAAATTTATGATTAGAACTTTTTAAATTGTGAAAAAATTTAAATTTGGAACCTTCTTGGTTTCTTTGTTTTATTTGCGTGCTTCGCGCCATTCTAGTTTTTCACGTTTTATTGCTTAAATATTTTGTCATTATAAATTGTTTTCTTTTTCATTTTGTCATTTCCTCGCTGAGGTGGGATGAAAAGTTACGTATTGCACTCGAGTGGAAAGATTTTTCACCTTGTGCTCGTTTGTTTCCCTCGCTGACGCTCAGGATTCTAATTTAGAATCACTCGCTGCGCTCGTGATTCAACTTTAGAATCCTTCGCTTGCTCGGTCATCCAAATCGAGCACGCGGTTAAAAAGGAACTTTCCACTCTTGTATAATAAATAACTATTACCGGCCATTGCGAAAATTGTTTAACTTTCACAACCACAGACCGAACGTATACCAACATTAACAAACTTCAAATTCAAGTTGATACTATAAACATCTTTAAAAGATCCTGCTTAAATTATAAATGTGAAAGTTTGTATATCGTTACTCGATCATGCAAAAACCGCTGAACGGATTTGGATTCAATTTGGTACACATACCTATAATTTATATTGGAATTTTCAAGTAAGTATTTTCTTTATCAATGTGAAATATAATTCCAATACGCTAATTTTGCGGAAACCGTTCAAAAGTGTGCCTAATTGCATTCACTTAAGACTGGTTATCTGTTACACGTGCACACGTCTGTGTTTACAAGTCTGTACTTACTCAGGCATCGTAAAAAGGCATAGTTTCATCCCCATAAAACTGTTATAAATGAGGCTCCACTCATTGATCTGTCGAGTTGAGCATCCCCAGCCATTTCAGGCACGATTAATTACGTTTGTTTAACGAGAGTGTGCGTACCTACTCTACAAACAGCCGGACGAGTGACGTTATGATACCTACATTAGAATTCTCCGAAATAACACCACCAACCGACATAATTTTACTTAAAGCAAGACATATTAATAATTACCTATACATTTATTGTTTCTGTTTTTGTTGTTAAATATAGATACCATCAATGAAAACCCTCTGTAGACATGCCTACACAGTAGTTACATAAAGTCCATAGTAGAGTCATATAAGTAGTAGATAGTTATTGTGAAGAAAAGATTGACAATATATTTTCATGACCTTTACTGTCCCAAATTCAGTCACGCATGCTAGGTAAAAAGTCACATGCAATATTCAGCCAATCGTGAGTTAAATATATTGTAGTATATAGCAAAAGCAGTGTGTTACATTTCTGAAACTGATTTTGATAACTATACTTAACAGGGCCGGATTTAGGATTGAGGAGGCCCCGGGCCACTTAGGATTTGTATGCTTATTGACCCATTGAAATGTTGTTATTTCTTAAGCTGTTGTGGAGGCCCCTGGGCCACAGTCCCACATGCCCTGCCTTAAATTCGGCCTTAAAATAAATACTTAATATAATTGTTTCGTTACTTATACACCCGTACAAGATCACACTACTTTTACACACAACCCCCTGTTCTTTCAGCTCTTTGTAATGTGTTTTTACCCCTATAACACCCCTTTATCAATTTCAATAAATAAACTAAATCTTATCGGAAATTTGGTGTTCGCAACGATTTTTGAACAGACATGTTCTCAGGCTATTTTGCAGCTCTTTTTTTCACATAAAAGGCAGGGGCCGTAACTGTAACATTATGTCTATGTGTTGGCGCTGGCGCTTCTCGCTTATGCTAAGTTGTTCTGGGTTCAGAAAATGGTTGTTTATGTTTACCAATCCAGTTAGAGGATTCAAGCATTTAGGTATACATGATATGATAACCAACCTTGACTGGCATTTTCAAATCAGAACCCTTAAAGCATGAGAATGTACTCATTGTCTGTCAACGCCATTGTTCTGATTTGACTGATGGTCTTACGGTCTACTTCGGAGATATACCTCATCCTTCATACTATTTATCTCAGTGTCAAAAGAATATAATAAAAGTTTCTCCCTGAAATTAAAAGAAGTTCATCGAATGATCATCTTTCGAATGCTTCTGCGCACACACTCTTTACTGCCTTTGATCGCGCCACATCATCAAAACATCCCGATGCTCCTGACCTATTGTGTGTTCGACAAGAACGTGACCGGCATACCTATATTTAAAAACTTTGCTTGCAGTTTGATAAAATAAATATAATGTTAAATACAACAATCTTTTTTTTAAAATTCTTTGTAAAAAACATAAGTTTTCTGTCCGATTTCTTGCTAAAAAGCACTTCACAGTGCCTAATAGTTCCTCACAGAAATATCTTCTTTCTGAAAATGTAATTAAAAAATTGACTCAGGCGTTAAGAAGTTATGGTGGAATAAAGAATTGTTACGAACCCTGAAAACAATACACTCTTTTTGGGCAAACGTTTAAAAAAGTTAAATTTAAAAAATCAAAAAACCCGACTGCTTAATTATACTTCAAATAAAAACTGAAAAGAAAAAAACAAGTCCAGTAGTCTATAATTCTGTTAATAAGGAACAAAGCTACTTTAACAGTCGGGACCCATTAGATATTCAAGAATACATAATATTTTTCAACAGTGGGTCCCGACTGTTAAAGTAGCTTTGTTCCTTATTAACAGAATTATAGACTACGACTTGTTTTTTTCTTTTCAGTTTTTATTTGAAGTATAATTAAGCAGTCGGGTTTTTTGATTTTTTAAATTTAACTTTTTTATTTCACACTTTTTACTTAGTTAGTATTTTAAGACGGTATATACCGTAGTCTTGTTACTTCAGTAAGGGAATTAATATCGAGGGAATTATTAAGTACCTTGCGTCGGTCTAAAAGATTGATTTATTAAAACATATAAAGACTTTACCAGCGGGGTCAAGGATACACATGGTCCTCAATTTTCGCAGAAATGTGTAAAGTTAAATCAAGTCGTTACATAAATATCTATAATGTATGTAAATTTTATAGTAAACTAGCACTTATTCAAAAAGTCATCTTTTGTTTATGTTTATTTTAATAGTTTAGCAGTAAATATAAAAACATTTACTTTTATTCGTCGACTATTTACAATTGGCAGTGGCTGCATTGTCATGTCAATGCCGGACGTCTAAGATTGTGATATACACAAATTCAGTGTCAGTCCCTAGTCTCATAATTTGATATACCTACCTACATAATTCACAGAAACCCAATATGTAGATGCTAGTAGTTAACTTCAAATGTTTTTAATCACCCTATATACAATACCAATCAATGACGTTTATGTCGCAGGTTGAAGAAAGCAGTAATTCCCGTCTGTTGTTTTGGACAATGGTGGCAACTGCCTTAGATCACTAAATTAAATAATTATGCAATCACCAAAGCAAAGTTTATAATATTTGATTAAACAAAAGGCGCATAATAAAATTTTCATAACGTTAGGTAGAGCACCATAGCAATCTCATTCATTATCAATTTATAGTTCTCTTTGTAGTTTTCTTTTAAAGCGTTCACATTTAACAGGTCAAAGACTTTGTGTACGGCCTTTTTTTATTGGTAGTGTAAAGCTCGAATGAAGAGTACTCCCAGTAGTGCAATCATGGCAATTTATTTTCCAAATTTTTTTTGTTTAAAAAAAATACCGAATAACGTATCACTTAAGCACAAATGCTAAGTGACTTTTACAAATATAATCAAATAAACCTATTACTTACTTTATTTTTAAATCTTTTTCATCAATTAAATACTTATGTTATCCTAACTATCTATACTAATATTATAAAGAGGCAAGATTTGTATGTTTATAATAAATAATCTGTCAAACTACTGAACCGGTTTCAAATATTAATTGATCATAAGGTAGCTACGTTATTTATAATAACATTTTTCTTTATTTATATACATTTTGTCTGAGTGACATAGGCTATATTTTATCCCGATAAATAAATTTCGCCCGTACAATTCCCGGGTAAGTATAATATAATATTATAGATGCGAAAGTGAGTTTGTTTGTTGCGCTTCCGTGCCCTAATAGCTAAATCGAATATAATAAATTCCCATATAGAAGTAGATGGGAACTTGGTTCTTAGCTACAACATCGCAATACTTATAGGCGTAGGGTAATGAAAGGGGTGATTTACCTATAAAAATCTACATTATTCACTTTGAATTTTGCAGAATTATTACAAAACCAATATTATCGCGAGCTGATTAATAAATACAGGGATTCCAATAAGTATGTACTTACTAGCGAAAAATGGGTTATTTGCCATTATATTAAGTAAACCTTTTTTGTAACATTAAATAATATCGTTAAAAAAAATGAAAAACAGTTAAATTCTGAGTTTTTCATTAAAATTCAATAATCATAAATACCTATTATGATAATATATTTTTCATCATTTAATAAGAAGGCACTATATCACAGTTTTATTGTTAGTACTTCGTATAGGATCAGATACTGCGAATACCCCTTTTTTTTCTTTTACATAGTACACCGCGCTATCACTTTGTCATCGTTGTAACTTTTTAAATATTTGTCGAAATGACATAGTGTAAACAGCAAAGTTTATCGTCTTTAAATATCAAAAACGATAAAAGTATTTGTTTTGATAAAAAATGATTTGTTAATACAAAATGTGCATTTTGGAAATATATATCAAACTAGCAAACCCGGCGAACTCCGTTTCGCCACCAGATAGCTTCGTTTTATGTAACATTTCGTTTGGTGATTAAAAGAAGATTTTTTTTTAATTTTTCCTAAATTTTCTTTGCTATAAACCTCACGGAGCCCGAGACCTTTCCAACGAATGCAAAACCGTGGAAATCGGTTCGTGCGTTCTGGAGTTATAGCGTCAGGAAGGAAAACTCGACTTATTTTTATATAGTAGATAATATTTTAGTTTTGATTCACTATTTTAGCGGTAATGACTTAAACATTAAAAATAGATATATGGTGTCACGGACTTTTTTTAGAACTATTTCAGAGATACATTTTCACGCTACATTACATTCATGTAACTTTTATTGTTTTTGCAGTGCAGGCCAAAATGGCTCGCAGATGGGAGATTTTTTTCCGTCTTATGTGACACTTATTGTTATATATTGGCCAATTCACTCAATAACTACATAAATTATTATATATATGTAATTATTATATATGAGCTATATTACTGCTAAGTTTCATTAAAATCCATTCAGTATTTTTTAGTTGAAAGAGTAACAAAGATCCATACAAACGTAAGATTGAAATTAAAAGCGTAAGTGTTTACTATACAACTTTAAAGCGTTGTAGATCCTAAATAATCATATAAAATGAAAAATGGTGTTAGGTGTTAAAAACTCGACATATTTTGTCAACTTATTTTTTTTATTTCGTCACAATATGGCGCCTAATTTTGCCCATATTGAATTTTGATTACTGTCATATCTTTACTAAAGATATGAGCACTCCCATGATTGAGACGAATCGATTGATGTATGAATCATCAAAATCGGTCCAGGCGTTTGGTCTCTAGTGTGCCACAAAGGAACAAACATACATATATAGACTGTTAAACACATAACTCTGTCTGCGCGTCGCGCTTCGCGCTCTTGCATTGCGCAGCCGGGTAAAAAGGGGTATGATTGGGGCAGCATATTTCTTTCCGATGCACCTTAGTTTTTTACAGCCGGTTACTCGGTTCAAGCTTGGACTACGGCTATTATTAGACTAGTGGTATGAACCATAAAACACCCAGTAAAGGTGCCTACTTGGGGATGCTTCTAATTTTTATCGTTTTAAATTTCTAAGGTTTTCTTTAAAATTATCACCAGTCACTCTTTTCGTACAAACTATAGATAAAGCTGAGGGAATATCCCTTTAATAAGTTACATAATTTACTAATAAAATTCATGTTGATATTATTAAATCCGATCTGATGATGGAAATAAAAGAAGTTCATGAGAAATCTGTAATAAAACCTAATGTCATTATTCATCAACCTTCAGCCCGATTGATTAAATCTTGATATTTTCTCTAGTTTTAAGGTCTGAACATGGTCTTAATCTTATGATTATGTTAACTAGGTAGAAGTTATTAGAATGAGTGGAGCAGCTCAATGACCACGTTAGCGCAGTGGTAAGCGCGTTCCCACTGCGTTCATAGGATTTAAACAACTTTCGCAATTGTCGTGTCGTACGATGGATGATTCGGAAGTTAACTGGCTTCTTCCACCTACAGATGTTAGCTTAGCCAAGTGTTAGCCTACCAATCCGTATCGGGCCCACGTGGGTTATGGTATACGCACATTGTCTCTATTCTCTCCCTAGAGAAGGACTGTGGCTGTAGGTACTCAAGCAGTGGGGTGATTAATAAGCTGATCATGAGAAAAATGACTAAAGATATGTAATATCGTGAGCATTATTATGTACCTAGGTAATTTGAGTATGTAGTACCTACTTTTAGATTGGATGGGTTATGATTATTTCAAACTTCTTCGTTTTTGTTCTTACAACAATAAATAAATACTTACTTATTTGAATTTTCATCAAGGTATACTTACATTTTATTTATGATTACATATTTTTTTTAGAAAAAGAAGACAAGAAACCAGAAGAGGATCTTTCAAATCACGACGTAATATTTTTGAAAAGTATAATAGAAAGTCCCGATTTTGGTCGTAGATGTGAGGTAGGTAGTCATGCTTTATTTTTAATTTAAAGTAATTTTTTACTCGATAACTGTATAAAATTAAAAACGTTACAAATTTTTAAAATAAGTTTTGAGCTTCAATCTAAGTATGTTCCGTATTCTATTGTATTCATATATGGTAGCCCACTTCACATGGTTATTTGTGTTTATTTCATTCGAGAAAAAAATCATATCTTCCATAGCAAATTCTAAGCCATGCCGATAAAGCATAGATCAAAGAGAGAATTATTATTTTATGATCGTAAACAACAACCTGTATTTATGTATCGGACGAGATTGTGAGGTCATTCAGTATCGTAATTCCTGTTGTACTATATACTGCATGTTATAAAAACCTTAAAACCAGAAAAACCATTTGCAAATCGTCTATTTGGCGGGTTCAATATTAGTACTTAAAGCCATTTTTGTAAGTGTTATTAAATATCCGACACACAGTCATCGTGAGTCGTGACATTATCCGTGTATAAAAATAAGAGATCACAAAAACCGGAAGTAAGAGATTTTATTACAGCCGCATCGCAACAAGTACTGGCAACGAAATAGAACTACACTTTACGACTGTTTGTCAAATATAATCAAATACGAATACATGGTTATTCATATTTAAAGTGCTTTGATTATTTAAATAATCAAATGTAAATTGCTACCAAAATGGAAAAACTGAAAATCAAAACAGCATCGTAATCGTTTAATTTCATTTTTGTATGGTTCTTCTTAAAATTCCGTTTAAAAGTCGAAAGGAGCGGAGTAAGATTTTACCTATTGGTAAGAAAAAACTGAAAGAAGACAGTCGAGTTTCTTTCATACTCTAGACCGTTTTAAATTTTGCCTGCTGGCAATACAAGCGCTTAGTCACGTCAAACGTTATGATTCACGCCAAGGTAATACAATCCTAAACAACTCAAATCTTCTTTTTAAAATCGACTCTTTGCCGTATGGGTATATGATCTAAAATACAAAGATGTTCCTTTAACAGTTAATCCTTTTAAAAATATATGGCTGTGGCATGTCAACGAGAACGAACGGTGCTGTCAAAATAGCGTACGTAACAACAGCTTGGAAATCGAAATCGTTTATTTATTGTATTTTTGTTTAAGCACAAACAATTTCTCAAAAAGTACTTTTCACCAATTGTTCGCTTTAACGTTTGTCGTAAATTTTAATAAGAACCGTACTGTGTTGTGCATTTTTAAATTCACGTGATTTTTCATTCAAGAATTTCCAACAATAAGTGCCACGCCTATCGGTTTCGATAGGTATGTTGAGGACTCTTTGTGCCTGATTGCCTTAATTACTGGTGAGTATTGTTTCAGTCTACAGAATCGGAGGAAGACTTGATTGTAAAACCCGTATCCCTGGGCAACGTTGATATAATAAAGACGCTAAGCGAGTACAGGGGACACAACATTAGAACTATTGAACAAGCCGAATTAGCTATACTTCTTTCGAGAGTACATTTCAGGGTGAGCTTAGTCTACAACCTTTACTATAAAACTATACTAAAAATATGATTTTCCAATAAGAAAAGTTACCCTCTATAAGTCTGATAATAATTGGATATTACAAGAATTTCATTACCTATTCAAAATGATTTAATTTTTATTCAAAAAATATATCTGACCTATCAATAATTTTATTGCAGGCTTTAATAGATGCTCATGACAAAATAGGTGCAATCTGGTTAGAACGTGGCTCAGGTGTTGATGAGAAAGCTATAGAGAAAGAAGGTACTAAAGAGACTGCTGAGGGTGCCAGTGGTAGCCCTGAGGAAAACGGAGATATGCCTATAGAGACTGTGAAAGTAGTGGGATTGCGGAAGGTGCCTGGGCAACCCTTAGGACTCACAGTAAGTGAAAGTGAAATAAATATAAAAAATTAAGTTACATTGAACAAGAAGCATTTTTGAAACTGATTTATAGCCAACATACAAAAAATATTGCTAACAAATGAGCTTCAACACTGTACAAAAAATTATTGCTCATCCTTACATATATTTTTGATACAGACCATTGAAACTTATAACACTAAGTGGGATGAAAAATGTGTCTGGAAATGTAGAACAAATATAAAGTGTTATTGTAATGCTTTGTGTGGTAGACTAGATAGTTTAAATAAACCTTTTGTGACTTGTATGTAAGATAATGTTTTAAATCTACAGAAAAATGTCTAAAAAATATTGTTCCCAAATATATTTTAACATAAAAGTTTAAAGTTTCCACTCCCTTGTAAAATAAACACATAAATACTCTTGTTGTGTACTAATTTTCACTAAGCATCAATCATTCAAATCTAAACTGAGTAGTTCTTAAACTATATTAATTATTAAAAAATGGAATTCATAATGTTGGATTATAAAAAACTACCAGCAATAGCATAGTTTTTATCATACAAGCAGAAAAGCATTCAGTTCTGTCTTAAGCCCACAACTAAGCTAATTGTGGCATAATTACTTCCTTGGAGTAGGCATTAGCCCAGAGAAAGTAATATTAACATGGTAGTCATTAATAATCCCACTATTTCTAGCTTGAAAAATATTTTAAAATCAACTATCATTTGAAAACTTAAGTGTCTTATCACTAATCCCTATTACACCTAAAACCAACATTATTTGTAAAATTATTTATATAATAAGACAAAGACTACAAAAACTATATTCATTGTTCCAATTATTGCTTATTTATTATTGGGTCGGATTCTAGCAACATTATAACATCATGTTTATTATCATAGGTAACAACTGATGAACATGGGCAGCTGATAGTGGCTAGAATACTGGCAAGCAGTGCTGCTGCCAAACAGGCTTTGCTCTCAGTAGGGGATGTCTTACTCGAAGTTGATGGAGTACAGATAAACTCAGAAGACCAACTCAAGGAAGCTGTCTCCAAACCCAATGACAGGGTATCTTTGAAAGTTGGACCAAATCTCAAAGAAAAGAGTAGCCAGCTCACTAATAAACTTAGTGTGAGTACTTTGTGGTATTGTTTCATAATGTAAATGAGATTATAAAGAATCAAGTTATTTTTCTTCTACTTTGTACTTGTCATAAGAATGTGATTGTTCTAATCTTATTATCATGAAAGGTATTTTATTGCAAATTATAAGTAGGATATTTGTTTTTTGTTGACAGTGTTATATGAGAGCCTTATTTGACTATGACCCTAAAGAAGACACATTAATACCATGTAAAGAAATTGGATTAGAATTCAAAAGTGGTGATATCTTACAAGTGAGTATGCAAATTTCAAATTAAATACCGGTATAGTAATGGGTAAATCTGTGTTAAAATTCCTGCTACATTGCAATATAAAGTGTGAGGATGTTAGGCTCCATTTATTATACCTATTTTAACTCAAATATATTTAATACATAAATCTAATAATATTTTTATCAATTGAAATACAGGAACCTATTTTTTTTATTAAATTCTTTGATAGAAGTTCAATGATATTTGAGGAAAACTATTCTAGGTTTCAGATAGAAAAGACCCTAATTGGTGGCAAGCCAGTCGAGTTGAAAATCCAGATGTGGTTGGACTAATACCATCTCCAGAACTAGAAGAACGGCGCAAAGCGTATGTTCCGCCTGAAGCAGATTTCGTTCACAAAATCAGTATTTGCGGGGCTCGGGTATTGTATCCATTAATTTCATGTACCCTACATTATTATTTGATGATGATTATTTTTCCTTGCTTTCGTATCTCTGTAAGCAAGTCAGCATAAGCATAGAACATTTTAAATAGAAATATTAATTAAAAAAAACTTTCCACAGATATCAAAAAAGAAAAAGAAGTTCGTATACGAGTCGCGTTCAAGCGTGCAGTTAGAAGGCGCTGAGTTAGCTCTATACGAAGAGGTGGCTAGAACTCCGCCTTTCCTTCGTAGGACTCTCGCCCTTGTGGGCACTCGAGGTGTAGGACGACGCACTATCAAGAATAGGATGATACAAGAGCACCCTGATAGGTTCGGTGTCGTCGTACCACGTAAGTTATTCATTTATACTTACAGAGAAGACATTCTGAATGGGCGAGAGGGACAGAATGTAATACATCGTCATTTGCGATTCGTTACCTTATTGGCGCGAGTTATATCGTAAAACGAGCCGAATTGAGATGGCTTTTCATCATTCTTACAATAATGTAAATTACTTTGCGGTGAATATAAAATATGTAAATTACTTTATCAGAGGATAGCCACTAACTAATATTTATAACAAAATCCTAATTAATTACACCAGAACTTGTACAAAATACCTTCCCATCATATATTTTATGAACGCAATGATCGACACAGAGACGTCATGTACCCGAAAAAATCAGACTGTAAATTCCTTCCTTATTATGATTGATGATTGTTTGCCTTTTTAATCTAGCACCCCTAAAAAGTCGACTGTTTTTTTTTCTCCATCATATAATTGATGATTGTTTGCTTTGACACAGATACGTCCCGTCCTCCTAGACCTATGGAAGAGAACGGACAGTCGTATTGGTTCGTGTCCCGCGAGGAAATGGAACGAGACGCTCATGCGGGACGATTCTTGGAATACGGCGAGCACAATGGACACTTGTACGGGACGCATCTCGACTCCATACGGGCCGTCATAAAGGAAGGTACGAAAATAAAGACGAACTCAATTGACTTTTGTTATGGTTCATTTCGCGTGACGAGATTATATAATGCGATTCAAACATTATGGCGGCTGTGAAGTTAGCTACGAATGCCGCTATGCGTAGTTTTCTGATCAGTAAGCCACCCACCCTACATTTCGTTTACTGTGCGGGGATTGCTGTCTTTACGACCATAAAGTTAGAATTGCAATGTACAATGGAGAAGTATACGCAAAGCTCGACATAGATGGCGCTGCAAACGCTTGACCCAAACCACAGCCGAATATTGCAGCTGTCAAATTTTGAACGTGTTTTTTTATTGTTAAATATATTAAATAAGTGGTGAACATGTATTCAACATGGTCTGTAATATAGCTGAAAAGGAGAGAAGCATCTATGCAAGGCAGAAAAGCTGATCTAGTAGAAAGGTACTCTTTCTATTATTATGCTAGAATGCTCATTCTCGGTACATAGATGTATTTTCCATGATTATTTTAATAATTCATGGATCTCAGTAACTTTTAGCGGGCTCATTAGTCAAATCTATCTTATTTTTGCATCAGTCAGACATCTCATAGAGTTAGGTTACCTCGGGCTAAAATGGGAAGTATAACATTGGGTTTTTTTACAGTCTTGAGGTTATGCCTGAAGACTGTAAAAGAAAGACCGCAATTTTAATTTTGGTGCAGTTTTTTCTGATCAAATTGAAGACATCCAGATGCAATTACCTGCCCCAGATGCATACCATGATGTAAACAGCAGCTCAGTTTTACTGCCCCTTTCAAAGTAACATATAAAAATATATTTTAGTAGGTAAGCATGCAGTTTTCTTACAACAACCAAGAACAACGCGGCATTTGTAATTTGTTTAATAAAAAACTTAAAAATGAATATAAGCTAATAGGTATGTATTTGATAGAACTTTTGGGTCAAGCGATTACAGCGCCCCTAGTGACCACATTTTGCAGATTTCTTGTCCATTCATTCACGTGGACCGTTTCTTAGAGTACGGCGAACACAATGGACGCCTGTAAAGGAAGATACGAATAGTATCACAAAATAGAAATTAGACAGAATTACCGCATTTGCCACCCTCAAAAATAAATAAATAATTCCAACACACACCAATTAGCCTAGCCCCAAAGTAAGCACTGTAAGGCTTGTGTTATGGGATACTAGGGTAAAGGATAGAATACATATACAGTACATAATATAAGTACATTTATATAGAAATACATATTAAACAACCATGACTGGAGTACAAATGCTCGTGTTCATCACAAAAACATCTGCCCCCACCGGAATTCGAACCCGGGACCTCTCGAGTCGGCGACACTATGAAACCCGGCGTACAAACCATTCGACCACGGAGGCCGTCAACAAAATATAGTTTTCTAATGACTTTTCATCACATGTCGCTAGTCTTTGTGGAAAGAGAATTTGATTTAGATTGGAGGGCGCTGTAGTGCTTTTCTACCGTATTTGTAAGGTTTTACCCCTATTAGACATTATTAAATACAAAAACCGCAACAAATCACAACAATAAACAAATCCGTATCAATACAAAACTTTGACGTTTTACAGATTGCTGGGTTTGATTGCCAAATAAAATTTTTAATGTTAGTTCCGTTTTTCGCCACGCCCATTCTCTTTCCGCACAGACTCTAGTCGCCAATAAATTCTGCTTGATCTCTTATACGTGAGAATGCCTGTAAACGTAACGACAATCAGAGCGTGATAGAATCGATCGGCGACCACTAGCAATTATAGCATTCAACTGCTTGATATTTGTATGTCAAGATTTTTTCTTCCGATAAAAAAAATATTAGTATTTTACTAAATTTATGTTACACATAAAAATACAGTTTATTAATTTTTATATTTGAATGTGTCTTGTTACTTGTTTAATTTTCTGCTTCAATAGCAATTTATATCTCTTCTATATATATGTAACAACAGGTAAAATGTGCGTCCTCGATTGCGCACCGCAATCATTGAAACTGCTACACAACAGCAGTGAATTCTTGCCCTACGTGGTGATGATATCGGCGCCGGGCATCGAGCAGTTACGGAACCTTACCTACGCCTCCAATAGAAACTTGACGGTAAATATACTAATAATCACATAAAACAATGCCCTTAAAATTACAGCAAAAATATGCTTGTTTTTGTTCTTTTTTCATTTCATACCAGCCTTCTCTGGAATTAGCAACTGTCAAAGTTGATTCAATGTGTTTTGACACATATGTATAAAAGAAGTTTGTGTGTAGTTTAAGGTAAACATCGCTTGCACCAGAACCTCGACAGCCTATAGAATTTCTTCCAATTATAGGCCATGAATTCAAACAAAATTAAGCGTTACGGGGCTGGACCGGTTTTCATGTTGTTCTAAAAATTACCTGAAGTAAAAATGACAAAAAAATTACAACTTATTTATTTATAATAAAAATTTAGAAAGATATGCTATTTTCAGAGATAATAATGAATTTTACTTTTGAATTTTTTTAATGATTGGTTAAGCATGAATAGCTTTTGATGTTAGCGATGCTACTCGTTTTAATGTTTCTGGAAGGATTTTTATAAAGTTTTTTATACTCTAGTCATACTAGTAGGTTTATCAAATAAAAATATAGTGATGCTTGTATGTGATCTTGTTGTATTGTCCATAAAAACATTTGTACTTTGCCGACAACATTTAGCAAAAGTAAGCATTTAACTGTAGTGATTTGTATTTCTGTTCTCTCTATATTTGGCAATTTGAAATTTGTAGGATTGTGCCATAACTAGGCCTCTACTTCGATAGACAGACATAATAGTAGAGAATAGACTGCGCGTTCCGTAAGCAACTGCGAAGTAAAACTGGGCAAATAAGTGAGAAGGACAAGGACAGCCCCTAATTGATTTAATTATTGGCGGTATTTTGTCTCTTTCTAGAAAATTTACAATTTTATGCAAATGTCTCTCAGCCCATTCTCTGTCTACTGGTATTTTCATACTGTAGCTCAATTGTTTCGTTTTAATTACTTGTAGCATGTGAATTATCGATTATTTTTTGTTTGATGCATTTGCGCATGCGTTATGTAGTTCGACCGGCAGAGCTCCATTCGATACAGCTCGCGGCGCGCGCGCACCCTCGAGTCTCTGGCTTCACTCTACGAGGTAAGAAATTATATTGCGATTTGGTTGAGCTTTGCATTTTTTTCTAGCTTTAGCATTCGCATTTAATAATGTTTAAGTTAGTTGTTACATAGTCTTTAAAAAATTCAAATAATAAAATAATCTTTCTGCTATTTGTGAATTTTGATGCGAATATAACGATATTTTATTGACCCATAATTTCCATAAACTGACAAGTATCTAGCACGCCGACCGTTGGTTTCTTCAAATAATACTATAAAAACTTACTTGTCGTACTTAAAGGCGTCAATTTATTTTTAAATTTGATTGATGTCGATACCTGGCTTGAATCTAGAACAATTTAAAACTAAATTTGACAGTAGTATATCCTTATCGTACTTGAGAATCAAAAGAAGAGGCAGTTGTTAAATTTAATTGACGTCTCCTTATGGTGGGTGCCGCCTTAACTTATTCTAATCACAAACATTTCAGCTTCTGATTCACTTTCACGCTAATACAAACTAAATTCAGCCCAAAGTTCGAATCCCTGGTTAAATAATTGCATTATGCAAAAAAATAGTATTAACAGACGACAGTTTATATCCTCCTTTTGACTAAACTTACATTAATTATACTCATAAATCGGTACAATTTGACATTCACTACGCCTTTATCACTAAGCAATAAGAGCTATATTCGTAGTGCACTTACACGTATAATCACTGTATAACTCGTGTCCAACGATATTAAATACCCTAGATACAACATCACGAAAAAAATCGTGGCCGAAACCTGTCCAAAAGGTACATTGAACAATCCACAGAGCTCCATAAGATAATCGCGTTGACTAAAACAATATAAAGCATTGTTTAAACATTGAAAGTTACCTTTAGTGCATATTGTGTAAGGTCTTCATTAAAACACTTGCGTCAAAGAGTTATGACAGTTCGAAATGCAAGCTCGTAAAATTTTACGACTTTTACGACTTATTGCTACATTCGGAAGAATATAGACCTTATTTCTTTAACTCGCGCAATTCCAAAGACGGCTATATAACCGATCATGCATTTGAATATCACAAATATTTTATATTATATCAGTTTATAATAAGTATTACAACAAAATTTGCTTCAAATGCGTTCAATCAACAAACATTGATTAGATACCTGTCGAAAAAACGACACTTTACGTACTATAAGTATTTCTTTCGCATTTTTCCACGGAGCTCTACGGCACCTTTACTTTGCAACGGTCCCCATGTGACTGTGAAACAAGATGTGCTTGAGCGGAGTTCAAGCACTTCTTGATTGGGACACATTTTGAACGCACGTGGTGCTACTATACACCACGTGCCTTCAAAACTATTTAAGGTTTTTAATATCGTTGCTCGTGTCATTAAAGAAAAAAATCGAAAATGCCGATGCAAGACATTCTATCTCACTCGCACATTACTTGAGATAGGATGCGCAAGATTTACTAAAATCACGTTTTTTAAACTAACACTGTTAATAACAAAATACATCAATATTTCCGTTTTCAATATAATAAACTCCATCCAGGAGGAAGATATGAAGCAAACGTTGGAAGAGAGCGCCCGCATACAACGCCAATACGAGAAATACATCGACCTAGTGATCACAAACAACAATATGGACACTACCTACTCTAAGATTATGGACGCCTTGCATTCTCTCTCGACGGACCATCAGTGGGTGCCCGTGAGTTGGATCTACTAGTGTACACGAAATTGATTAGCCTAAAGTTCGGTATTGCCATTGTTATAACTTACAACGACCTAAGCACCAAAATTACCACTATCAGTCACAGATTTTTTACTGGTAACAATAATTTATAGCAGCCAAACTTGCAATAAATCATTAGAATAGTAGTTTGACATTCATATGAATAGATGTATATCGAACTTTTTCGCCTATACCTATTCCATTCATGTTGATTAATCTGGAACTTGTTCTATCGTCAAGCATATCATACCAAGTTTTATATCAATGTTAACAAGCAGTTTATCTAACAACATGCTTTGATTATGTATTTTTACAATCCATTCAAATTAAAAATAAACAGTCGTTCAAACTTATATCTGTGGTGATACTGTACGTTCATGACGTGTAAACAGACTGCCGCTGAAATGTCGATAAATTGTATATTAGTATTATTTAGCAACTACTTGCTTCTCATTAACGTTTAAGAACTTATGCAGCTAATGAAATTTTAACACTGCCACTTCAAAAAAAAAATTTGTAAAACGAATCTATTCCTACATTATTATTTTTTTAAAATTAACCAGTTCTCCAGTCATTCTTGACTATTTATTTTGTCACTTATAAATTAGAGTATATTTAAAAGTACCATCAGTTAGCCAAATTATTATTTTTTAATTATCACAAGCTATTTTTAATAAGCACTATGTTGTAGGTGAAATTGTATTGAATAAGTAAGTTTATTTGGCCATCTTGTTGCATCTGTTTGATGTATTATTAATTAAGTAAGTTAAAAAATAAAAGTCTTCCCGCACTATTCTTACAGTAAAATCTGAATTTATAATGATAAGAACTTTAGTAAAAATATTACAATAGTAAGAATTGAATAGCTATAATTGATAGTTGAGTTTTAAAAGATTGAGTTAAACTGAACACAAAGAGGTCAGCACTTACCATTAATAATAATCTTAATTATAAATGAAAAATATACATTAATGCTGACAATGTGTTAAACTAGTTTTATTGGGCATTTTTTCATTTCACAACGAGGTATTTTGCAATATTTTTATGATAATTTGTGTAGAATAAGGGTTTTCAAAATAACCCTGTTTCGTAGTAGTATTTTTCCTGATATTGTACGTGAAACGTAAATTGAACTTTTGATAAATACAATAGCTTTATAATTAAATAGTAAACTACTTATTTATAAAAGCTGTAAAGGCTACTATTGCAAGAGTTATAGTGATAGTGCGGGTCTAACGATTAGTATAAGTAAACATATTTTTTCAATGTTTTGTTATTGTGCCACGACACTTGATTCTTTTATATATTTAGTAGGACAAAGCAAGTCATTCCAATCTCTCAAACGGCCGCACTTAGAAATGGCTATTAATGTTCAAGTTAAAGTTAATGCTGTTACATTATTTGCGATAGTAACAATATAAGACGCTACGTCATTATAAACATTAAATTTAATTGACGACTCTAAATGCTGCCGTAAATAATTTAAAATAGATTATGCGTATTTCTTGTTACCGCACTTGAATATTGTATAAGTCTTTACGCCTCTTTACTGTCAAATTTCAAAATCTACCTCTCATCTTTTCTTACACATGTTTCGAATTTTAGAATTAAATCCCACCTGTATAGAATTAAAGCGTTTGGCGTTAAACTAGTATCTTGCAAAATGGCCTACCGTATTTGTAAGCTTTTAAAGACTAGATTAAATAAATAATTAATTTGATATTTTTCATCAAGGGTATTTATTTATATATGTACGTGTTATATTGAATTTAATTATAAAATTGAACTTTGATATAAATTATTGCTAAAAAAACATCGTTTTAACCATAACCAGCTAATCGAAAAGTATTTGGTGTAGCCGTAGTAAATTGGTATTAAAATTGAACTTTCGAAACACTGAGCAGCGAGAAAAAATATGTTTTTGTCCACCCATCCCATGACCGGCCTTTGCGAAATTTGCTTAACTTCTACGATTGTAGACTGAACATAGCCACTGCGCCATTGAGTTACTCTCTCTCGAGTTACTGTAGCATTTATACATTAATATTGAAATGGAAGTATGCATTAGCTCTCAACACATAGTAGGTATTAATAAACAATAACTCGTGACAGACGGTGCAATAAAACGTGCAAATGAGACAGCGCATCTCATGTTCTCTCCCGCACTTACATTATTTATGGGTGACGTCACAAAGACGTAGAGATGGGCGGTGTATGCTTACACATGTTTATCGATAACAATGTGTTATAATAAGTAAGGTTTTATTTAATAAATTGTTTATTTTTTTCTCCCTTTACTTGAGGCGATATTAACGCAATTGGATTTGGCAATGACAAGGCGGTAAACGATGCGATGACTCATGCAAAATGCATTTTATCAACAGTTCTCTGAAATTGAACGTACGCATCTCTATAACAATTTATGGCACCGTCTGCTACGATTTTTTTTATACTGTAGGTATATTTTATCTGTTCACTGAATCATGTATTATTCTTTATTGACTACATTTATAACATGCAATTATAATCTGCTTTTAAGTATTTTTTATGATGAATGATGAAATTTTCATGATGTAGGATGAGGTTAACTCATGTTTTGTTTAAATATTTTATGGAATCATGGTCTACCAGCTTTTAAATATATATTGTTGCATCAGATAAAGACATAGTAGGCTAGAGATTATGAAAGAATTTTAGTAATTAGTAAAATAGAACTTCTGTTAAATGATTACAATTCACAGTGCAGCTGCATTTTTATCAACCTAAGTTACGTTTAAGCTATATTTTATTGTAAATTTAGCTTACTTATACTTTCACTAAGAATCTCACATTCCGTCCATTTTATTTTGTTGTATAGCTATGTTGTTGTGTCGATAATTATTCAATATACATATATTATGTATCACTATCCAATCTTTAATTTATTCTTGTGCCCAAGGAATTACCCTAGAAATTGTTTTTCTGTTGAGTTTTACAGTCTGCTGCAAGGTTACGGATGTTATTATTTTATACTGTTTGGGTTTTTAAATTGAAATTCGGTAGGTGTTTGAAAATTTTCAATATAATTTATTTCATAAGTATGCAACAATATTAATAAGCATGACTTATTAAAAATAATGTGACCTATGTATTGAATTAATTGGGATGTCTAATCTGATTGTATCTTCAATGAATAATTGGAATAGGTACTTTGATATTATCTACTTAACATTTTGAATATCCTCCAGCATCATATAAATTTCTACTAATTACTTTGTCTTGTAGTATTTTTATGTTGACGCACCGATGTTTTAAAGATGTTTGGATCTATGTGATTCAATCCCGTCTCGCTGGGGACTGCGATCAGGTTTGTTTCTGTCCCAGACCTGTCCAGTAAGTGTGGCGCTAATAGCAAGAATAATTGCTGAAATAAAAAAAAGCAAGATATTAAGTTGTATTCATTCATTTCTGTAGATACAGAACAGGTATAAAATAAAGATGCTTTTCGCCCTTTTTTATATAGCCACTAACACCTAAACCTTTTTTTTTTTGATAAAATGGGCTTAACGGCTTTTGAATTTTCGTAGTGGGCGGATGACTAATAATATTTATATAATACACTAGCTGATCCTAACCACAAGAACCTAACATTTGTTCGGATATTTTTTTTTCTCCGTGCAACTAATGATCATTAGCTGTTTTAGGGTTCCGTAGTCCTGACCAGGAACCCTTTTAGTTTAGTGTCCGTCTGTCCATCTGAGGTTTTGCATGGAGACTATTAGCACTAGAAAGCTGTTATTTTGTAAAGGTATGTATATCATTGACGCCAACAAAGTGGTATAAATAAAAATAGAAAAATGATTTTTTAGTGTATGTCCCCTACATGTTAAGTGAAGATGTTTTTTTTCATCGTCTACCCCATCGTGTGGGGTATCGTTGAATGGGTCTTTTAAAATGATTTAGAGGTTGCTTAGACTTTTTTTCTATTTGGGGATCCGTTGTTTTAGTACGGCGTCTCATGCTTGCAAAATCTGGAAAAAATCATGATAAAAGTGCTTTTCATGAACTTTTAAGGAAAACTATAACGAAAAGTTTACTAGAAAAAAATCCACGCGGACCAGGCAGCGGACGGGACTCGAACCCGCATCCTTCGCTATCCGGGCGAATGCACTGACCATTATGCTACCACGACCCTATTAGCCGCGTTGAAATTTTCCTAGCCTTAAGCTGCAAGGCAGCGCCATCTCTTCGCATTGTAGGTAACCCACAATGTCAAATGAATACTTTTTCAAGTATTAAACATTTGAAAGAAGAAATGGCAATTATAGTTATGATTTTATTTATTTTTTAAGCATTTAACTGCTAGATGTTTAAATCTAAAGAAAAGTTTACTAGAAAAAAAATCCACGCGGACCAGGCAGCGGACGGGACTCGAACCCGCATCCTTCGCTATCCGGGCGAATGCACTGACCATTATGCTACCTCGGCCCTATTAGCCGCGTTGAAATTTTCCCACAATTTTCTTCTACCTTATGGCTACCTTTATCATTAACGGTGGTAAGATATTTACCTCAGCCCAAGGAATGAGGGGCAGATTAGCAAACGTGGCTTGCCAGCCGGGCAAGCCCATGTGTACTAGAGCCATCCTGAAATAGTGCGTGAAGGAATCAGCCAGCCAACCCCAAGCGCCTTCACGAGTCGCCAACCAAACCGACCATGAGCCACCCGTGTAGATCAAACAAACCTACATGATAAGAATCATCATCATCAGTCGATTAATACCCTATTGCTGGGGCACAGGTCTTCCCTATGGATGGAATAGGTAGATTGGGCCACCACCCAACACGCTGGCCCAGTGTGGATTGTTGACTGCAAATGCAGCCAGGACCAATGACTTTACGTACTTTCCGAAGCACAGAAGAGCTCGAGATGGTAAATTCTTGGTCACCCATTCAATGACCGACCGACCATTGCAAAGTTGCTTAACTTCAACGATCGCAGCGGAAAGCGATAACCAGTTGCACCAACGAGCTCCTGATAGGAATCACACATGGTAAACAACTGAGGTTATTTGATAGCCGGTTAACTCAGTGTAGGGTTGTAATATTGCTTCTTAATGATCTACCTCTCTCCCTTATAACGCCATTGGTTTAGTTAAGTGACCAACCGTCACACATTGCATTTTCAGGTGCAGATACGACTCGAAGTACCATATCTACAATGATATTATTTTCAGTTGTCTCAATATTATCGTTTATTCTTTGTTCTAAAACCTGAGTAACTATTCATTTCGTGAATCATTATTCGACCTCAAGATTAAATTAGGTAGGTAGGTACTGACTACTGAATCAAAATGCGAGTCATCGAAGCACGGAAAACCAAAAGGGCTAGCCGACGCGCCATCCTGCTCACTTCAAAGGTGAGAATAACTGGTTATCGTTCTCAAAAAATCGTATACTTATTATTAAATAGCTATACCTTTCCGATAGTCCTGCAAGTGTCTAGCTCAAATACTTTGCTTTTAGTATTCAGTACGGGTCGAGGTTCAGACTGCGGTCGGGTAAGTGAAAAATCAAGAAGGTCCTTCAAAGCTGGTGATAAGCATAATTCGTTCAATGTGTTCACGCGTATAGATCCAACAGGCAATACTTCATCAGCTGTAACAGCATAGTTATTAAATAACCTTTAGCTTTACAGCATGTCTAAACTTATGCGGGTAGTTTTAAAGCTCGTTTCATAGTTATATGATTTAACTGAATTCAATTAGGTTTATTTGAGTGTGTAACTTACCAGAATATTTATAATGCCACGTCAATTGAAAGCCGTCACTAGAAGCATAAAAATTACGTAAATCGTCTGGAAGTGCTGCTGAGTGCCTTTGCTCCCAAGTCGAAAGTGCCACTCTGTCGCATGGAGATCTACGTTCAACGTTAACATTACATATGCGCGGGTCAGATTCTAAAAATAGAATAAAATAAACCCATTAGATGCTCAGCTATAAGAAATCGCTAAAAAGTATCATGCCTTGAAGAGAGTTCCAGAAGTTCGTATCATGTTAGAGGATATCGTGGTGCATGGCATTATTCATGCATTGGATCTAAAGAAACTCCAGAAAATAGAAGCAACAAAGTAAAAAATAAAAAATAGGCTGTATGGACTAGTATTCATTTCTTTCTTCCACACCAATACTCTAAGCAAATGCTTTAAGCTAAGATTCCATATGTCACTGTCACCTGGTAGAACTTCCGGTGTGGTGTGTTATGCATTTCTAACCTAATAATAGAATAGAAACTATCATAATGTATCTGCAATAAATCTTATTTCTATAATATAACATAACTGAACCAAAGCCTTAAATTACAATTATCTTTTAATTTAAAATTAACTTTAATCTCACAACAAAAATGTCCGCAGCCGGTATTTGTGTTATAAAAGATGAATACGTGATAAAAAGATCAGAAAATATCAACGAAAATTGGGGGAATAAGAGAAAATTAGATGTTGTAGAAGGGGATACTCCGAACAGTGATCATGATAATAAAAAGACCAAAAATGACGAAGAAAAACCATTCCCAAACAAGAACAGAATGAGAGGGCAGAATAAAGCACGACCCAAAACTTTTAGAGAAGATAAAGATAGCAAACCATGTCCTTCAATCGTAAATGTAAAATCGCCTGATGAATCGCAACCATGTCAGTTTAACAACTGTAAGTTCATACATAATCCCTTAGATTACATGAAAATAAAACCAAAGGATATTAGTGATCAGTGCCATGTTTTTAATACTAGAGGAAGATGTCCAAGAGGAATTGCTTGTCGCTTTGGTTCTAGTCATATTACACCTGAGGGTTACAATATAGTTGAAGAAGGAAAATTCACTGCATGGAAAGAAGACACGAAAAATACACTTCCGCAAGGCCTCCAAATTCAACTTCAAAAGAAAAAGTATGATATGAGCTTTGCTGAAAATTTTGTAAAAGCTATGAACACTAAAAGGCCTACTGCTGAAAATGATGCTGTACCTTGTAGTGAGAACAGCAATGAGAAACATTCTTATAGTGGTGTCATCACTGATGAAGACATAATAAAACTCCTTCCAAAAGAGAAAAAAGTTATAAACTGGAATGACAAATTGTATCTGAGCCCTCTAACAACTGTTGGAAATTTACCATTTAGGAGAATCTGTAAACAATATGGAGCCGACATCACCTGTGGTGAAATGGCATTATGTGAATCATTATTAAAAGGAACTAAACAAGAATGGGCTTTAGTGAAAAGACATGAATCAGAGGATATATTTGGTGCACAAATATGTGGAAATAATGTATTTCTAATAACAAAAGTAGCACAATTATTACAAGAGAATACAGAACTGGACTTTATAGATTTAAATGTAGGGTGCCCTATAGATTTAATATATAAAAAAGGTGGTGGTAGTGGATTGATGCACAGATTGCCTACCTTAGAAGGGTCAATTAAATGTGCCTCGACAATTCTTAGTATACCATTCACTGTTAAAATGAGAACTGGGGTGTATCAAAGCAAAAAAATTGCTCACACTATTGTCCCAAGAGTTGCTGAAGCTGGAGCTTCTCTAATTACATTACATGGTAGGTCTCGAGAAGCTAGATATACTAAATCTGCTGATTGGGACTATATTGAACTGTGTGCACAAGCTGCAAAGCCATGTCCAGTATTTGGTAATGGGGATATTTTTAGTTATGAAGATTATATTCAAAGGAAAAACTTAGCTCCTACAGCTCAGGGAGTAATGATTGGCCGTGGTGCCCTTATAAAGCCTTGGATATTTACTGAAATTAAAGAGGAAAAAATTTGGGATATCAGCAGTAACGAGAGATTTGAAATTTTAAGAAAATATACTAATTATGGTTTAGAACATTGGGGTTCCGATACCCAAGGTGTTGAAAATACACGCAGATTTTTACTTGAATGGCTCTCATTTTTGTACAGATATGTACCTGTAGGTTTACTTGAAAGGCCTCCCCAAAAGATTAATGAGAGACCACCTGCTTTCTTTGGCAGAGATGACATGGAAACATTAATGGCATCTGGAAATTGTGCTGATTGGATCAAAATAAGTGAAATGCTTTTAGGACCTACACCTGAAGGATTTGTTTTTCTACCTAAGCATAAGGCAAATTCGTATCAATAAGATAATTATTATTATTGTACAATTTTTTGTATGTATACCTCTTTGTTAATATTAAAAATGTTTAAATAAAAAGGAAACCATTTTAATTTTATGATCTTATCCATATTTATTAAATACATATTTTACCTAACTGTACTTGTTTGGTAAAAGTTGATATATTATGTATTACTAAAAGTCACAAAGTTTTAAATAATAATTTAATGTTATTACTACAATGCTACAAACCCAGTAGTTTAGTTACACCCAATGTAATATTCTCATAGAATGAATCTTCAGAAACTAGATCTACACAGAAACTCATATCTACACCGCTAAGTATATCTGGGACAAAGTCCAAAATTAATTTTCTTTAGTTATAAATTTTGAAGCCATTAGTAGATAAAACTGTTTAGGGCACACAAAAACGAAAATATTGCTAGTAAATAATTTGACTATGGCAAGTGCTAAGTCACTGTTACCAAAGGGTTTCTATGGTAACAGTGAAAAATAAAAAAAGTGAAAACAGTATTTACAGGCTTGCGGGTTTGTCGTCTCACTGATTAGGGGCCGTTCAAGTATTACGTAAGCACTATAGGTGGGCAGCGGGGTCTTTGCTTTGCTTATTTTGAATGACATGGGGGGGTCGAAATAGTGTATTCGTCAGCATCATGGATTCGGGTGTCATGGACTGAAGACTGTATATATATACCAAAATTTTGTAAGAAGTTTGTTTTGTTCGTAATAGTACCTTACTCTATGTTGAATACTGTGTCAATACAGTTTCTTTAAATGAATATTATGTGTGTTAAAGTCCTCTATCCTAAGCCTATTTAAGTACTGCTGCTCATGAAAGCTCATGAATCAATAAAAAAAACAGAATACATTTAAAGGTAAAAATGCATGTAGGTATCAATGTTTACGTAAGCACGTGAGGGGGGGAGTATGAGATTTGCTTACTTTTGCTGACAGGGGGGAGGAGGGTGTAAATAATTGTAATAAATCTGCTTACGTAATACTTGAACGGTCCCTTAGAAAAGTGTAAAACAGAATAAACAGAACCTTTTGACCAACATATAGGTACTTTATTGCTGCTATCTGAATATTTAGTTTACAGCTTTCTTTATTGCCTCAAATCTCGTATTTCCTGTAGTCCCGTTACTTTCTTTAACACAAATCTTTTCATCCACAAATATCAATCCTATCTACCTACTTGAAATCGTCGCTTCTTTGTTTTAATAGCAAAAAGTAACCATATGCGTCTAAGTCATGTGTCGCCGTTGCGTTCCCTAAAAATAATGAGTTCTTTTTTCTCTTTATTTGTGGCAACAAACAATCATACATTTTAATATGATTGTTCTGTGGATATAGTGAAATTATAAGAGACGACATACAGTGCCGGCATTTTACCTTATTAGTAACAGAAAAATAGTTATAGATAATGAGGAATGTTCATAGATACGTAAAATCACTTGAAACTTCGTCACAGTGAAGTTTTTATATATGCATATACACTACTTTTTGTTTTATTTAAAAATACCAAGTACTTTTGATTTTACAAGCATTCAAAGTTCGCGTAAATTTGTTGCTCCGCTAAAAGTCATTAAACCCCGGATGACGTCATTTTCCAACGCTCCCTGTGCAGTCCGCGCCCAGCTGTAGCAGTGAATAGGTCCCGCAGTGTTTTCTACTCTTTCTCCGCTTCTAGCTGTGTGAATTGTTATAACGATGGATGAAGGCTTCAATAAAGGACAATCGGATAACCTACCTAAAATAGATGGACTTATGGTTGCTCATTATTTAGCAGTAAATAATGATTTCTTTGCCGTCGAAATGAGAGGCGTCAAAATGCAAAGGTAAGTTACCCTTCTTTTATTATAACTCTTTCGAAAATTGGTAATATTTGTTCTATATTGTTTTATTTATCGAATATAGGTACTTAACCTAACTTTTTTTTATCGTAATGCTTGCTAGGTATCAAACCGTTTTAATTTTAATTTGTACAGTGTTATTATAACATAAAACTCTAAAAACTAGGATAAATTAAGAGGACTAGGATATAGGAGGCTAAAGTTAAAGACGTATCTAGAGATATATGTTTACTTATTCTAAATCCGGAACAGATGTAGGTACTAAATCTTTTTTTATTCAATGACGAAGAGCTCTTGGTTCAGTGGTAGTTAACGCTGCCTAGAAATCGAGGGTCGCGGGTACAAACATTTGTGTCCATGAACATGGATGTTTGTATCGGTCTTGGTGTTAACATTTTTTGTTTATAAATTTTTCAGATCGGCAAGAGAAAGCTACGGTGATGACGCTATAGGCTATGTACAAGTTAAAAGAGATGGTGATGTGTGTACGATTAAATGTAGAATCACACCGGAACACCGCGTACGTACCAAACCATATCATTGTAGTTTACAATGCAATGAAAAGGATCAAGAGGTGTTAAGTGTAACCTGCGAAGATTGTGCCGCCAGCAGAGGTGGATGTAAGCACACCATAGCCTTTTTAATGTGGCTTCATCGTCGAAGCGAGGAGCCTTCAACAACTGCTACCAAATGTTATTGGAAAAAGTCTAAGCTCTCGAGTATCGGTACTACACTGAAATTTATTAAGGCTACAGACTTTGGTACAACATGTCATGAATTCCGACAGAACGAAAAAGTTGTTTTTGACAAAATAGCATCAAAACTTAGAGACCTTGATATACAGTGCTCACTTTCACATTATGTATGTGAAAAAAAAGATGTTGAAAAGATATCCATACATTATTTAATTAATCTATTCAAAAAATCCTTTATGAATCATGACGTTAAGACCTTTATAACATTTTGTTATAACGAAATGACGGAATCAAGATGTCTACAAGTAAATAAGGGTACAATAACTCAATCAGATTCAAATTTGTGGTTTGAGATGCGCTACGGCCGTATAACAGCTTCAAAAATACACGAAGCTGCTCATTGTACAACAAAAGATGGCTCTTTAGTTGAAGAAATATTTGGTGCTGTAACATTTAAAGAAACTTCTGCTATCAAAAGAGGAAAATTCTTAGAAAAAGATGTAATTTTGGAAGTCTCACGAGTAAAAAATCTTGCAATAATGGGATCAGGTCTTTTTCTTAATAATAAGTGGCCTATGATTGGTGCCTCGCCTGACGGGCTTACTGACGACTACGTTGTAGAAATAAAGTGTCCCATGAAGCAAAACACTTTTAATACGTATTATAATAATGGTAAACTAGGTAATAAATATTATGCTCAGATACAAACACAAATGAAAATTACCGGAAAGAGTAAAGCCCTATTTTGTATTGCACACGTTGATTTTGAAACCTCAAAGAATGTTGATGTGCACGAGGTAGTTTATGATGACAAATATTGTGAAGACCTTTTTAAAAAAGCAGTAATGTTTTGGACAGAAAATATTTTTGTCAATTTAATAAAATAACATAAAATTATAACTGTTTCTTATTATTTGTTCTATAGTAAGTTTTATTAAAATCGTAAAAAATACTACGGGGCAGTAAATATTTAATAGTTTGAATATCTATATGTTGTGATTTTGTTTGTCATGACCTAATATTGTTTTAGAAATACAGTGTAAACTCCATGTAACGTCACTCGATTTCAATAACGACAACAATTAAGTAATAAAAAGTACTTTTTAAGTTGCCAAAATTAGTGAACATCGTGCAGCTGTGTACGTTCTTTTGTCCTTTTGTCGCTTTATTATCCTAGCCCGTAATAAACTCGACTGTCGGCATCATACAAATCAAACTTTCTAAGAAATTTGCCAAATAACCCCATAAAATGTACAGGCCCTTTAGTTTCGTTATATAGAGTTTACACTGTAATTAAATTTTAATATATTCCTTTTCTTACACACTGGGTTCTTATTCTTTAAACATACTGCTTTGAAGATTGACTATTCCACATGCAGAAACTACAACCAAATCTAGCATGTCGACTTGTTTTAATTCTACACAAGCGTGCGGCAGCATAAACTGAAAACCTCTTAATCTGCCGATAGATCTTTCAACGTGTATTCGTAACGCTGCAATTTTTTTTGTTTGTAAAACTTCTTTCTTAGTCGGTTTAACTACTGCGCTCACGCTAGGAGGTCTAATCAGAGTATGACCATTTTGTAGCATTAAATGCGCAATATTTTTAAAGCCTCTATCGGCTAATACAGCTGACCCTTCAGGCAGTGTCTCTAAAATTCCACAATCTTCAAAAATTAAAGAGTCGCTTGCTCTGCCCCCATAACCTGAAGAAATAAAATTTATAAGCCCATCAGGTGTTATGGAAATTAAATATTTTATGGTATTACAGCTTTTGTAATCAGACCATGTTAGAGCTTGCTTCACGGCATCTATAGGTTTTTCAATTTGAATTTCAAAACAGTCGATAATGCTTTGAACCTGACTGTAGTTTTTCCTAAATGGTATAGGTTGATTCATCTGGACATCGGATGAAGGTGGAAAGTATATAAGAGATTTAAGAAAAGCTGCAACAGCGGGAACAGTTTTTCTTATAATTTTAGTTATAGTACTCGTTCCCAAGCCAAAATCTAAGGCCAGAATGGCATTAGCTTGATATAAACGTATTTTTTTTAAAGTGATCATTATATTTCGTGGAGTACATTTTGTTGTTTCAGATATTAGGTTTATGCAAAAATAACATTTTTTAGGTAAACCTAATAACAGTTGTGGCTCTCTAGATATAGATAAAAGAGCAGCTTTCTGCATATGGTTTCTAAAGAGATGTGTTTCATTTTCTGAGTTCTCTGTATCTGTGTCTTCATCAAGATTATTTGAATGTTGATCGAACTTATACATTTCATGAGAAGAGGCGTTAGAACATGTGTCGTTCGTAGTATAAACTGATATTTTTTCTGGATCGGATATTATTTTACCTACTTTCTCAAAATATTTTCCGTCAGTCATGGTAGATTTATGGACACCTTTATCCTTCAGATTTGCTTGCACTCCCTTATTTTTTTTTGATATTACCAAAGGCTGATCATTATTTGCAAAACTTAAGGGATCTTCTAATCCTGTTTCGTCTGGACAGCTGGCAAGTAATATTTCTTCAGGTTTTTCAGTTAAATCTAACTTCGGAATTTCGTCTTTGTTTAACAATTTCTCGAAATATTTTATTCGATCACGTTTTTTCACAGCAGATCTCTCGGGTTTATCTTTATGTTCTTGTTGACATTTAAATTTGTGAGGAACTATTCCATTTTTAAGTTTAATCCTTCCTCCAACCAGCTTATATTTGATATAGTTCTCCATATCATTCTCAATCTAAAACAAAAAAGAATACTAAAAATGTATATCGCGTTCAGTCCCATTATAATAAAATCTAGTAAATAAACTTTTCACCAAATTTATAAGAAACAGTTGCTGGCAAAAGCTAACAGGTACCATTCTCCGGTTCCGTGCCATTCATTCATCTATATAACATTAAACACTATGTTTGAAACTCTTTTTAGTTGTATTCTATTCTGTTATTATGTTATGTCTTTATGTCTCTTAGTTATAGCCGAAGGGGAAATACATAAAAGTCTATAAAAATTTCAACTGCTTAGCTATCACTATTCATGAGATACAGCCTGGTGACAGACAGACATACAAATAGACAGACGGACGGACTTTTAGTAATAGCAAAATAACAAATAATATATATCTAGGTAAAAGTATATGGTACTTACGTCAAAGTGATCTTCACAACAATAAACTTTGCTTTTTTCACCAAAGGGATCTAACCTCTTCATGATATTTAACCATTTATTTCGTATTTTAAGTCCATTGGAACTAGGAAAAACAACTTTTCCGGCGTCTTCGTAGTAGTACTTGTACATTTTGGCACTACACAGGATTTCCGAGAACTAGGATTGGACATATCCAATGATTTTTAGGGAAACGTATGGCAGCGATACGGACACGAGCGAACGGACTGAGCGACTGTTGGAAAATGACGTCACGCAGCGTGAGCGCGGGCCAACGGTCGCGCGCTCACTTTAAATTCTGTAACTCGGGATTTAACTAACATATCAAAATATTTTTTTCACACGTATTTTTTATTTTTGACAGGGAATGCATTAAGCTAAAATTTAAAATTAGTGAACATTCTCCATTGAATGGTTGTAACTAAGTCATGCTCGTGAACGAGTGCTGGCTGCTAGTGGTCGAGTCATGGTTCCTCGTTTATTAGTCTGCTTTTTACAGCCTATTCATATATACTTTTTCTTAAGAATACGATTTTACATAATTAATGTTAATCATACTACTGAGCACTCGCGAGATATAGCTCAAAGTGAGCGCATCGCTCAACCGTTTTATTAGAAAAATTGATCATCATCAGCCTATTAATGTCCCCACTGCTGGGGCACAGGCCTAACCTATGAATGGAATAGGGAGATTGGGCCAAGACCCACCACACGGGCCCAGTGCGGATTGGTGGGTGCTAACGACTGCAGATGCAGCCGGGACCAACGGCTTAACGTGCCTTCCGAAGCACGGAAGAATAGATAATGTTGTTTTAATGTAGTAAAAGTTAATGCTTCCACATTATTTAACATAAATTAATAAGTATTCCAAATCACGTTGACCTTGAATAATATCACATACGACTACGGCTGAGCATACGCGCTGTATCTCAAGAACGGTCAGTCGTATGAAAAAGTTTTAAACAAAAAGTCCCAATATGGTAGGAGCGCAATGAAGTGGCCAAGCTAAAGCCACGGAGCAGGGTAGTCGCGAGCAACTCTCGCTTGTTGCCACTCTACAGCGCTGTGCGCCACTTGTTCCATGTTTGCAATGAAATTTTTAATAAGATTTAGGAATTAGGGTGTACGCTGCGCCATTAGGAAGCGAGAAAGGTCTTGAATACATAGAGTAGGGGAGATATAGACTACAAGTGGAAGTGTCCCTCTAATAGAAATAGAAAGAAGATGAGAGACCGCTAGCTTTCTCACTAATCGCGCATGCGCATTGGCGTACCCTTAGCACGAACCAATATCGAATTCGAATCGTTTGCGAGTCCGAAATGTCATTGTCAAATGTGTACTGATTTTTAATTCACGCTACGCACTATGTGGCGCTACTGTACAAGTTTCCATACAAAATTTTACATTGACATTTCGGTTTGCATAACTACGAATTCGATAATGGTTCGTGCTAGGGGTACCGTAATCATCTTACTATTTCACTGTGATGTCATTGGATGCCATGCGTCACAAGAGAAAGATAGCTAGCGGTCTCTAATCTTTTCTCTTTCTACTAGCTAGACGGACACTTTTAGATCCGTATTCCCACTCTATTCTTATACCTCTATGCTTAAATATCTCCCCAATCGTGATTTTGACACGTCGTTTATGTCAAAAGTTCGGTTCATTTTTGTGCACTTTATGGAACAAGTGATCCGGAATTTATTTAATTATATCATTAGGAGTACTAACTACACAATAAAAGATCTTCTTCAGTCGTGTAAAATTTATTAATCATGTTTACTTAAATTGAGATTAACAGATATTCAATCAAGATTCTACATAAAATGTACTTAAACACTGTACATATTATATCACCAAATTAAACGCTGTCATGTCTAATACTTGAATATTATGATGTTAACCACAAGGTAAAACAGCTTAAATCTGGAGATAAATCTTTTAAGTACCACCTAATAGACACATAAGGAAATGCAATACTCAAATGGTCATCTGGAGGATTTTTGCACAATGTCAAATGTATATGTACTAAATATAGGTTTTAAAATCTGACTCTTCTACCACTAACGTAAACAATTGTTGCACTTAAATATTACAACGTAAATTTTACGTGTATAAATAAACATAGTCTTATTATTTTAACTTCATAGTTATAGTTACTATTACTTACATTTCACTTTAAGAAAATTAGCACAGACCAAAAAACTTAGCAAGTGTATTGAATAACTGGGGTGAGGTGTGATACTAAATATCACATAAATTAAAACATTTTTTTTTTAAATTTTTGTACAAATGTACACTTTCGTAGCCTCAGAACATGTAATCTGTCAGCTTTTTGATCAATAAAACATATTTATGATAGTTCAATTTCAACTAATACAAACCATCCCAAACCATCGGAATTAAAGAGACAAGGTGGTTACCAAAGTAGGAGGCTGATAAATAAGCTATTCATAAATCCGATTTTCGAAAATGACATAGCTGTTATGCAGGATTTACGTGTAGTAAAGAAGTAACAAATAGTGTTAATGATAATTAAACTATGTTAATGCTATTTATAAAAAAACATCAAAAAAAATATTACTATGATGTTGAATCCTATATCTGTAATGTAAAATTAAAACCTACAATTTAATTTTAATTTTTCTTAATTTTATACACCAATTGCTAGAATACATTTATTAATGTGGAATGGAAATAATATTAAATTATCAAAACCTAGAGTAATTTGTTCTTCATTCACACACGATTTAGCAGTTCATCGCCTCCTACGCCTACGGGAATCGCCATTGTATCCATTCTCTGTAAGAAAATATACATTTATTTTACCTTAACTATTATCTAAGTAAATAGTATAATAACAATAACAGTATTTGAGTTATTTACACACCATCCATAATTTGATGACAACTTTGAAAACAGCAATACAATTATTATTAAGAGAAGGTACAAATAAATTATGGGTGGTATGTTGAGCCAAGATTTATAATGTGAGTGTAGTTAAGATGGTGAGTTTGCATTGGTTTGAATAGAACAAACCTCGGTTCTTTCATCGTCGGCGGTTCCTCTGGCGGTTATTATTGTACCCCACGGAGCCATTCGCCGGCGCACTGCTAAAGTCGGGCTGTTGTTCCATACCCATCGGTCTGCCAGGACCCATATTTTGCATATTATAGTAATTCATTTCAGTGCCGAATCCAGCATTGTTATAATTTTGGTTAAAATTTTCATTATCACTCCTTTGATTGTTTTTCCCTCCGTATGAACCAAACGCAGTGAAGTTGGCTCCTTGCGGTCCGATGACGTCACCGCCGTTGTGGGGTAGCATGCGCGGCAGAAGGCTCCCGTGGGGTACGGCGACACCGCCAGGGGTATATCCGTAGCCGGGCTGGGGCAGGTCGCCCCCGAGGCCGTAAGAGCCGAGCCCGCCGCCGGCCGGGCCGTCCGAGTCACCGTCGTTCCGATCGCGTCCTCTTCCGCCACGGCGGCGGCGGTCGCGGCCTCTCGGCCGGGAGCCGCCGTGGCCGTCGTCGCCGCGACCTCCGCCGGAGCCGAGGCCCCCGCTAGAGCCGAGGCCTCCGCCCGAGCCGAAGCCTCCGGCGTTGCCCAGGCCTCCTCCGGAGCCGAGGCCGCCGCCGCTCGAGCCCAGACCCCGGCCCCCGCCAGAGTCATGCTTCCTGGAATCTGACTCGTGACCGATCTCCCCCGCGCCCCGTTGCCCTTGAATCGCACCGCTCGAGTATTCGGAATTAGGGGGAGGAGGTGGCGGTGGAGGAGGCGCCGCCGACCACCCCCCGCCCGGACCCATCATAGGGTTCATACCGCCCGAGGGGAAACCTGGCATCATCATACCGTACTGCTCGGCCGGGAAAAAGGATGGCATTACGAAACCTGCGCCGTTCATCGGAGGCGGGACACACATACCCTGAGGATTGAGGGCCATCAATGGAGGAATTGAATTATTTTGAGCCATTTGTTGTTGTTGTGGTTGCTGTTGTTGTTGTTGTTGTGATAGTTGTAGCAGTGATTGTTGTGGTTGTTGTAGTAATGGTTGCTGTGGCTGTTGTAACAGTGGCTGCGGGGGCTGTTGTAGCATTGGTTGTTGTAAGAGTGGTTGAGGTTGTTGTAACAATGGTTGTGGTTGTTGTAAGTGTGGTTGAGGTTGTTGTAACAGTGGTTGTGGTTGTTGTGGTACGTCATGACTGTTTGGCATTACATTATTTTGGATATTACTATTGTTATTGCCTCCTCTATCACGGGTATTGGTCGAAGTTTGATTATGTGAGACGTGACCGTTCATCTTATCGTTACGGGGATTAGGCAACGGCAATTGAGGGCCGATAGGGGTGGGCAGCAGTGGTTTGGGCGTGGGCAACAGGGCTTGGGGCGTCGCGCGCGGCGCGGCTTCCACAGCTTCCTTCCTTGGGCTGCACTTGCCTGAGCGAGATCGACTTCTGGAACGGGAACGCGAGCGCGAGCGGCTCCTGGAGGATCGCGACGATCTGCTGCGGGAGGAGCGGGAGGAGCTGTGGCGGCGGCGGCGACGGTCACGGTCGCGATCGCGCGAGCGAGAACGAGAGCGCGTGCGGCGGCGACGGGGCGAGCGCGAGCGGGACCGGGAGCGTCGCCCGCGACGGTACCGCCCGCCGCGACCACGGTGACCTGATAATAATACGAACATATTTAAATATAATCCCCAAAAGAGTACCTTAACCATAACAATATAGAGGATTAATTTTAAAACACCAACAACCTCTTAGGGGTGCTGAAATCGCGGAAAAAAAATCAACTGTTTCATAAACTTCGGTCGATTAGCTGATGCACTTTTGTATGAATCAGATTTTTTTTTTCGCGATATCAGCGTTGGTCCCATTACAAAAGTTGTTCATGTTGATGGGTAGAATCACCCACTAAGAGGTTGTTGGTGTTTTAAAATTAACCCTGTATATCAGTATTAGTAGTGCCCGCAATTTCATTTGCATGGAAATTCCAATTTCACACCTGATTTTTCACCCCCATAGAGGATGAATTCGGGGATAAAAGTATCCTATATCCTTCATCTACCAAATTTCATCTCAATCACTCTAGCGGTTAATCGTGAAAAGGTAACAGACAGTCAAACACACTTTCGCATTTATAATATTAGGAAGTATAGTATAGATAATTCTCAAAAGAGTACTAAACCACAACAATTTATATTAGTATATGTATAAATAAATACCTTCTACACTCAAAACAATTAACCTAGACTAAACTAAGACTAAGCACTGAAAGGCTTGTGATAAGGGATATTAGGGTGACAGAAAAAAATAATTATAGTAATATATAAGTACATATATTGTTAAAGAAATATATATATAAAGCCATGACCCAGGTACAAATGCTCTTATCCATCTAGCCAACATTTCTCCTTTTCAGGGTTCGAACCCGCGACCTTGATTCTTATTGAATATTCTGCAGAAGACTTCAGTCAAATAACAATCATATTGCAGTGTTGTATTTCATATATACAGAATAAAGTTCATAATGATTTCAAAAACTACTTCATTTAAACTATAATCTACACCAAAGCAATGCTGGAAGCAGTTCATACATAAATATGAATTTTATGCAATAATAATAATTTTACATAAGGCCTTGCAAACTGATGTGTCAATTGTTTATAAGTATTTAGTCATTTTCTAAAAAAAATATTCTCTATATTACATAAATCAACATATTGATATAATGGCAACAAAGATATACTTACGTCTGCCACCCCCGCCACCTCTTTCAGAAAGCTCTTGTAATTTGGGATTTACTACTTGTTTAGCTTCTTTAAGAACAGACACCAGGTCAGCTGCTTTTGCAGCATTCGATGGTGTGAAGAATGTGTATGCTGTTCCAGTCTTGTTTGTACGTCCTGTTCTCCCAATACGGTGAACATAATCTTCCGAATTGCTTGGATAATCAAAGTTAATAACAAATTTTACGTCATCCACATCTAGAAATAAATATAACATGTTGAGTATTTATTTGTCACAGCACCATCCTTATTATTAATGAACTGAATGATAATCTAAAATACATACCCAAACCTCTAGCAGCAACATCTGTAGCAACTAGAATGGGAGCTTTACCACTTCGAAAATCTGTAAAAATGATAAAGTGTTAAAACAGATACTTTTGTAATTTCGATTTAGTCACAAATACAATACTTTCAAATAAACAAAGTACATACCAAAGAGGTCTCTGATGGATCTAGATTTGCATAATGCAAAACTATGTTTTGTTTATAATTATGTAATCATACCGCTACAATAGACATACTAGAGATGCGCTGAATATTTGACAAAAATCCCTGAATTGTGGAAGAAATGTCCGCCGAGAAGTTGCCATGGATTCAACGGACACGGTGTACGAACATTTGTCTCGCGAAAATTTTGAAAAGCGCATGCTACAGAAGCAAATATTCTGAGATTGAAAAATAGAAAACATTTTGAGTTCCCTGTGTGTGTCGCTGCGTCTAGTCACATAAGTTACTTTTAGGGTTCCGTACATCGAAATGGAAAAACGGAACCCTTATAGGATCACTTTGTTGTCCCTCCGTCTGTCAAGGCCCTTTTTCTCAGGAATGTGTGAAGGTATCAAGCTGAAATTTATATCAAATACTCAGGTCTACTGTCCCTTGGAGCTGTGAAAAAATCAAACGTCTATGCCGTATGCCCCAAATTTCAGCAAATGTTCGAAACTCGCAAGAAACTCAAAACCTACAGGGTACTTCCTGTAAACTAAGAATATTGAAATTTGATACGAAGCAACGTCTTATAGCACAGATAAAGAGAAAATTGATAGCAATAAATTTTTAGTAATATCACTTTTTTTAATAATTATTATATACCTACATGTTTATACGGAACCCTCGGTGCGCGAGTCCGACTCGCACTTGGCCGGTTTTTTTGGGGACACATTTGTAATTTTGTCTAGTCCGATCTCTCGGCGTCCTCTGATTTTTTGTATGTGGTACTTTTAATCTGTCATTGCGTTACACAATGCAGTTGTTGCAAGTGATCTATTTTGGAAGACAAAAGCCCCTTGTCTGCACAGGCCATAAATAAATAATAAGTATAGATAACAGAACATCAGGGTTCCACATCACAATAAAATTATATGATTAAATTTGAACTTTGGAAACAATCTATAGTCTTATAGGACTAAAAATTTATTGGATAATTTTGTCCGTTCTGTTTATCAGATATGTGATGTTAAAAAAATATTCACAAAATTTATAGAAAAGGTGCCCATTTCAAACAGCTGTTTTGTTAATAATTTTGAGCTGTTGGTTTACCATTATATTATTACACAGGCCATGACATCAACTTTAACTTATGTGTTTATATTTTATTTGGTTAAGAAGAATATATTGTGCTCACTGTCTTAAGGCCTATAAAAACATACTACATAATTTATATCCATACTTGTTCTTTCTTTTAATAATATTTTTTTTTTACCAAGTGAAAATCAACATTGATCTCCCCCTCCACCAAATATAAATAGTTCTGTTGAATCCTTATTCAGCGCATCACTAATACATCGCATAAACCTTTTATAATTACCTGTTAACTTATTGCCAATTAAAAGACTACCTTTTAATATCACAATTTAACATTTTCTGTTTGTATACTTAATTTATTTAGTGCACTAAAGCAATAACTATAGTACATTAAATAGATAATAATTTGCTCATTTTCAGAATACAGTAGAAAATGATGTGAAAGAAAATATGAAGCCAATGTCAGGTCAGGTTTTTACTTAAAACTTAATAAATGTTTTATTGAAGTAATTTTGAAATATGCATCTTTTAAATAAAAGTAAGTTTATCTTTGTTCAAAATTCCAGAAGTTGTTTTTGTCTAAATTTTAATTATTCTAATGAATACAGTAAAAATCCTTATCCATACAAAGTGACAGAACCGAGTCAGTCACCATAATGCAGGTATGTTATAAAAAATTATTTAGTAACACTCAAAATGGGTTTGTACCCACCTACAACATACTAACTTTGGATATGCTCAGTATATCTTACTTAATACTGTTCTACAATCAATCATGTGGTAACGCACATAAATAATGTAAGAGCGAGTAGACGTCATCCGCCCGCACGAGTAGCGAGAACCGAGAGCTGAACTGCGAGCCCGTGGGTCGCGGTCGAGCTTCAGCGGCGGCGCCGGCGCCCCGGGGCCGTCACGTGACGGCCGGCGGCGCTATGAGCGATCGCCGGTGCAAGGCGAGGGTGCGAGCCTCGCATGAGAGAAGCGGCTCAGACTAGCCGCGGTGGCAAGTCAGAGTGCATAGGGCTTTGCCCCAACGACTAGAGGCGGCGCGGTGCGGACGCGGCCGCAAGCGCCTCGCGGCACACACGCGCGCGTGCTGCCGCCTCCGCCGCCCGGCCGCAGCTCTCCACAGCCTGCACATGCAGACATGCCTTCAATATTGTTAACTAGCATTAAAGTAACGCTGCACTCATTGCACACGCTTCTCCAGTCCGATACCGCTTCTCGTCACCCTTCATTGTTCATAATTTTTGTGAAATTTACATATCTCTAGAGATTTGTGACTGCATGTAAGCAATAATAATATATAAGTATGATATCATTGAAAATAAAAACAAAAGCAAATTAACTCTCATGTTAGAATTACTTTGTGTATGCCTTACCTTGTAATACCCAATCACGTTCATTTTGTGACTTGTCTCCATGAATACAGACTGCTGGCCAACTGTAATAGGAAAACACTAAGATTTCTGTAAAAGCTTGCTTAAAATATGTACACTCGCGGAAAGACCCGCTCTGTCACCCATAATGCCATAATCGCTTGCGGTAGCGGCGTAGTAAAAATTCATTCATAGACATGTAATTATCGCTGTCTTACTTTTTCGTATAGCGCTGTCGCGATCACGATGCTGATGACAAATTGCAACTAAAACAAATGCAATTCAATTCATTATTCAATCAATGAAATGCTCTCTGTCTTACTTTTGTGCGGCGGCCCGGATTGGCGCGTCCGACGCGAAGGCGGGGGGGCGTAGTAAAAACTACTGTAGAAAACCGTTCAAAGCATTTTGATCGCCAAGTGACAGAGCGCAAAATTCCGCGAAAGTACCAGCAAAAATATACATACCCGTCTCTTTTCATTTTCCTTGTAATATCATCAACTCTCCTTTTGGTTTCAATAAAAATTATAGTTTTATTTTCTTTTTCTGCCATAATTTCCTTCAAGAGAGTGCTAAGCTTAGTCTCCTTTTCATATTCCATACAAACATCTATTATTTGTAAAATGTTGTGATTTGCCGCTAATTGCAGTGAGCCAACATTGATTTGCAGGTAATCTTTTAGAAATTCTGAAGCTAAGCTTTGGACTTCTCTGGGCCAAGTAGCAGACCACATAAGAGTTTGACGATCAGGTCTGATTTGTTCAATGATTTTCTTTATCTGTGGTTCAAACCCCATGTCTAACATTCTGTCTGCTTCATCTAATACTAAATAGGTACACCTTTTTAAATTAGTCCTACCACTTTCTAAGAAATCTAACAATCGTCCAGGTGTGGCAATGACAATTTCAACTCCAGCATCCAAATCACGAGCTTGTGGTCCTTTTGGAGCTCCGCCAAATAAACATGTATTGTGGATTTTTGATGTGTTTGCAAATTTGTCACAAACTTCTTGAATTTGTTGAGCCAGTTCTCTTGTAGGGGCTAATACCAGAGCTATAGGGCCATCTCCTCTGCTGGATTTTGGTTGGTTGTTAATGTGAACAATTGCAGGTAATATATAAGACAAAGTTTTACCAGAGCCTGTGGATGCAATTCCTACCATATCATTTCCACTCAATGCAATTGGCCAACCTTGAGCTTGGATAGGAGTTGGTTTAGAAAAACCCATTTTATCAATTTCATCCATAACATAATCAGGGAAACCGGCTTCATCAAAAGTTAAAGTAGGTTTTGGTATATTGCGTCCTTTTAGAGTAATTTCATTGTCACTTCTCCATGTTTCTATTTCAGAATCTGGTCTGTTTTCTACATCAGGATGAGGTACATAAAAATCCTTTTTGAAAGGTTTCAAACGGTTTAGATCCCATTTAGGCTTCCGCAAGTTGGCACCGGGATTGCTCCGACGCCCGCCGCCGCCATAACCTCCACCTCCTCCGCCACCTCCACCACCCAGTCCATAGCGAGGACTACGACTGCGACTTCTGCTTCTACTTCTACTGCGACTACGACGCCTGTCGCGACTGCGATCCCTACAGCAAAAAATAACATATGATTGGAATGAAAAAGACCACGACCATTGAATGAGTTTCCGCTTTTGATAGCTCTGATAGTTCTAACACAAAAATGGCTTATTAACTTACCGTCCTCTGCCCATCTATATGATTGTCTCGTTTAGAACACACAAATCACCGATAAAAAAAACTTCACTCGTACTAAAACTAACTGTGTTTAGAGCGCAACGTTATTTTACGCTACCGTTTGCAAGCCATGTAACTTGAAAACAAAATGGCGAATCGGCGCTGCGGCGGGGCGAGCCGAGCCGAGGTCGAGGAAGAACAGGGCTGGTCTACGTTCAAAACCTTTCAAAGTTGACATAAGCTACATACATTATAATCAAAATTGAAACGTGAAGATAAAAAGATGCACTCTGAGCGTAGGTTTGGAACGTAGCCCAGCGTTACCTGTGTTGCCAGAAAGAAATATTTTCTGAACCATCAGTTAGGGTACGGCCACAGTGCACGCAGGTTCAGAATCAGGTTCAGACTCATAAAACAAGCGCGAGAAATAAACAGTGTAGTTTAAGCAGGGTGGCCATAGTGGCAGCAGGCAACCTGCTTAAACAACACTATTTATTTCTCGCGCTTATTTTCTGAGTCTGAATCTGCGTGCACTGTGGTCGTACCCGTAAGGTGCAGTCAGCTTACAACACAAAACAAAATACCAGCGTAATTTTCCAATTACAGCACTACAGCGTATTATGCGGCATAATGCCTATCGTTGAATGTTTTAACTACAGCAACGCTTCGCTCAATCAAGCACTCTCAAAAGTAATGTTTTCGTGTGATGCGTGCAATCGTACCAACTCAGTGACAGAAAATTAACGAGTGTTTTTTTTTAAGTTGGCATTGATCGAAGTGATTTATTTATTTAATATCGTTAGTAATTGTTACGAATTGAAACTCCTTTATAAATTGACGTTTTTATTCCTATTTAAAAATATAATAAAAAAGGACAGTCTTGGGACAACTCTAGATTATGGTGGTTTTATTTTCCTTCTAATTTAATATCATATATAGTTCAACACGTTCTTTTTAAATAGTGGCGACCGTGACAGTGAAAATGTTGAATTTGGAGAATACTAAAAAGGAAAGATGCGTGGTAAGGCGCATTTTTACTAAATGTAGCAATGATTTAGAAGCCGCGATAGACCGCCAGGAAACAGATGTAGAGACTCATATTATTTACGAAAAAATTAAAGAAAAATATGAACATTTACTTCGTCTTGACAAAATAATATTAGATTTAATGTTGATTGAAGTTGACGAAGAAATATTAGAAAAGGAATAGGCTAGTTTACTCATGTCGAATTGTATTAAATAAATGTTTATTTCTTAAAGTATTTAGTCTAAGGAACCTTCATATATCGATTTCACTTCATAAAAGCAGAAGATTGCTGTAGAAATTTAATTTTAAAAAATATTTCTTAGTCTATATTTTTTAAACACTAAAAACGCTGTTCGCCACATCCGCCTAGGGACACGATATCGAAAAGAAAGCATCGATACCGTACTCATGAGTAGTATCGGAAAAAAAGTATCGTACTCGTAAAAGTATTGAAACAGAAGTATCGATACTTCGAAGTATCGAGTACATTTCATAGGGCCTTATGAGCAACTGCCCCCCTGCCCTCCGTTAAAAGAAAAACAATAAAATTTTATTACAATTAAAAACATAAAAAGGACATGTTAATTCACAAATTTCTGTATTATGTAGATACTCATAAAAATGTGTAATGTTAATATAATCAACTGGAAAACTAACCGTGCGTAATTCAAGTACGTGAGTCTCAGGACACACTATATTGCTTGTGCTTCCAATTATATCAACGCAATGGAATGTTTAAGAAGGTTTGCTATGATTCCACTAGATGGCGTTGCCATCAATATAAGGCTCTTATTCAAATTTTTAATGGTATCGATACTTGCCAAAAAGTACTCATTTAGTTGAAGTATCGAAAACCAAGTATCGAGTACAAAAGTATCGGTATCGAAAGGAAAAATACTCGATACCACAAAGTATCGATACTTTTTTCGTGTCCCTACATCCGCCATGATTTTGACGTCTCTTGTGGTAAACAACTAAATGTCATTCGCGTGTTACTGTAGATGGATTCTTTCGTCTGACTAAATTTATCTTAAAACACTTTTAACTTTAGGAAAGAAAAAACAGTAAACTTAGTTTTTTTTCTCAAAACTAATTATGGATGCCGGCTTTGTGAAAGCAGAAAGCACAAATCTGCCAAGAATTGACGCATTGATGGTTGGTGAATTTGTTGCACTAAACCCCGATTTCTGCTTTGCGGAGCAGAGAAACGACAAGGCATCTATGTAAGTACAGTGCATTTAGTATTACAATGTAGTAATAAACATAAAAGTGATACAACATATGAATAAGTGTAATAAAGTTGCGTAGGTTAATTTCTTTCGGCACTTTAATCCACAACTTTCCTGGAGTCTTCAAGGATGTGTTTTTATATTCTCGTACAATACAGTAATGATAATTACTTTATTTTTCGTGGTATTTATTAGAAATCATGTTTTTTTTTATTATAAACTCAGTTAAAAGTAATTTTCTACGTGTTTACGAGTTTTTGTTTACCACAGTTCACGTCATAGCATAGATAATCTATAGACTAAAATGGCCGACAGCGTTTTTGAATGTCCATGAAAAGTCTATTTTAAAATTAAAGATTTGTAGCTTTCTAGGTTTAAAAAAAATACAATACATTTTTTTTCGGTCTAATAGAACATTTATGAACCATTTAAAACCTTTTTCCAAAAAGGGTCAACTAGCCTATTGTGTGTGGTGATTATAAGACTCGGTTGTTGAGATTAGAGGCAAAATATAAAAAATTGACTGCTTCAACGACTTCCGTTTTCGAAAACATTACACCGAAAAATATGAAATTGCCACAACTGGAATTGCCGAAATTTGGTGGTGATATACGCAATTGGCTTTCATTTTTGGGTCAATTTTCAAAAATAAACGGCGACCCGAATATTGATAGTATAGACAAATATCAGTATCTTCTACAATGTATGAAAGATGACACGGAAGTGAAAGATGTAGTCGCAAGTTTTCCTGTCACTGCTTATTCCGATTGCATAAGTCAGCTCAAGTCGCTCAACCGAGACGGTTTGTTAGTGCAAATATACATTAGAGAAATTCTCGCACTCGTGCTATCGAGCAAAAAAGGTTCGCTCACGCAATTGTATGATAAACTGAATGCTCAGTTGCGTGCGTTAGAGACTTTAAAGCTTACCAAGGATCGGTACGCTGACTTCTTGCTGCCATTGGTAGAGTCTGCTCTTCCTAACGAAATCCTTAGATGCTGGGAGAGAAACAAACCTCAGGATAATGACGGTACAGATGAACTCAGCAACCTACTTAATTTTATAAAGAAGGAGGTGGAGGCAGAGCAATGAATTGCCATCACAAAGAAGACTTTCTTCGGAAATAGCAGTCATGAACGTGAGGAGGTAGAGAGCAACCCCGCAACTGCAGAGTGTTTACTGACCAACACTAAGCAGAGATCTAGCGTATGCATCTGGTGTGACAAAGACTCTCATGCCAGTATCGAATGCTACAAGTTAAATAGAATGACTATTGAACAGCGGAAACAATACTTAAAAGAAAAGAGAGCTTGTCCAATTTGTCTGAGAGTAGGACATCACCCAAAAATTCGTAGAGCGGCGGTGAAATGTTTTGTATGTGCCAAGCGTCATTCTACTGTTTTATGTCCTGACATAAAAACTAAAGAAGATAAGGTAATTGATAAACAGACAACAGAAGAATCTACGTCATTGTCTACATTTAATGTTTCAAGACAGACCTTTTTACAGACAATAATGATAGAGATTGAGTATGAAGACAAAAAAATGCTGGTTCGATCATTATTAGACTCTGGTTCCCAGCGCACATATATAAAGAACGAGATTGTTGATAAGCTCGGCATTCCAATATCAGGCAAGGAACATCTGACACAGTGTTTGTTTGGTGGAGTGCAAATGAAGTCTAAAGAATTTTCTGTATATTTTTGTTATTAATTCGTTAGATAAGAAGTCTAGTTTTCGTTTATCAGCTCTCGGTCAAAACAGCATATGTACTAATATACCAAAAAATTGTAATAATGACATCCATATTACTAAGTTATTACGTAAGCATAATATCACATTAACAGATATGGATCATGGTTGTAAAGATATTGGTTTACTAATTGGGGCAGATGTTCTTGGTCTCTTTTTAACAGGTTCAGTTATTCATTTGGAGGACAGTCTGACGGCTGTAAATACCAAGTTTGAATGGACATTGCAAGGGAACCAGGTAAGTTCTTATGTAAATAGTAATCTTACTGCGATAATGTTTTGTACATGCGACAATGATTTGACAGGTTACTGGGCGCTGGAGACATTAGGCATTCGAGATCCAGTAGAAGAAAAAAGCGAGATTGAAAATGAAGCGGATGCCTGGTTAAATTTTAAAGAGAATATCAAGAGGACAGGCGATAAGCGGTACGAAGTTAATTTACCTGTTAAACTTGAATATAATGATTTGCTGCCTAATTTCGACATAGCCAAGAAGAGATTGGAAATGATGGTAAAGAAATTAGTGAATGTAGGAAAATTCAAAGATTACGATAGTGTTTTCAAAACTTGGTTAGATTTGGGGATTATTGAGTTGGCTGATGTAAGTTCAGAGACTGGCCATTTTTTACCCCATAAACCTATTATTAAAGAACAGCGATTAACGACCATTATTAGGCCAGTGTTTGATGCTTCGACAAAAGATAAAAATGGTCGGTCTTTAAATGCATGTCTGGAAAAGGGCATGAATTTTATAGAGCTGATTCCTAATTTACTGAATGATTTCCGAAAAGGTGTAATAGGTATTACATCGGATGTCGAAAAGGTGTTTTTACAAATAAGTTTAGTAGAAAAGGACAGGAATTACCTAAAGTTTTTGTGGTATAAAGATGAAACTCTACAAGATTTAATAACTTACAGGCATTGTAGGGTTATCTTTGGATTAACGTGTAGTCCTTTCTTGCTTGCAGCGACAATAAAATATCATTTGATTAATTACACAACAGACAGT